CCTGAGCACTTTTATGCCGATAAAAATGCATCCACGCTATTTTTACTATACTGGTAAAGTAAAAGAAGTATACATTTAAGCATAGACAGGCCCTGAGCCAACTGAAGTTATCCCAAAGGAAGAAATATCCCCCAACCCAGCGTCTGAGGGGAGAGGGCAGAGATGGCTTCAAACAACAGCCCAAATAACATCCATCTCTTAACCCCAACACATTCTAAATCTTGGTTTGGATTCATTCCAGGTCTGGAGTGTGACTTGGCCCTGAACCTGGTTGGGCAGCACCTGGTGAGGCAACTGGTGGTGAAAGGAGTGAGGGAGTTTTTACAAAATCATGATCCTGTCAAACCTCTGGTGATGTCCTTCCATGGTTGGACTGGCACAGGGAAAACCTTCGTGAGCTCCATGCTGGTCCGCAACTTGTTCCGAGATGGGCTGCGCAGTCCATATGTCCATCAGTTCTCCCCAATAGTGCACTTTCCCCACCCTGAACAGATCAAGCAGTACAAGGTAAGAATGGAGGCTGCCTCTGAAAGCTAAACTACAAGACTGATTTCCTCTTATGATTATCTAGTCAGCCATTGGATAAATATTGAGACTCTTCTCCCACCTTCCAGCACATACGGGAAAGTGCAATAGAAGCACTTGTTATAGCACCTCTTATCTGAAACTGTTCTGGTGCTTTCCAAACACTAATTAAGCCTATGGGATATTATCTCAGCTATGCAGATGGGAAAACTGAGATATAGCTAGGGCAAGTGACTTGCCCAAGGTTACACAGCAAGTCAGTGGAAGAAGTGGCCATACAACCCAGTCTCCTGATTACCAGCCCTCTGCTCTACTTGATTGTACTCCCATTAACCTTGGCATTGCCCAGAATCTAAAGAAATTATGCAAGAAGGTTAGCTGACAAATACTGAATGGAGCAGGAGAACTAATGGCATTTTGGGTTTTCATTACACTGTATTTGGAGAAAAATGCGTAGCTCTCTTGCTTCCTCAGAAGAAAGAAACTTGAGTTAAAATCCTCTGTTGGAAAAAGCGCTTCAGTGAAGACTAACACATTTCACCAGAAAGTCTGTACATTAAAATATGGAATGGTATAAATATTGGACCAGCTGTAGCCTTTGTGGTGTAAGCATGTGCAACTGCCACCGGAAGGGTCTCACATGCTTACACGAGAACTCAATTTGGGTAAAGTATATCTTCCTAAGCGTCCATACTAATGGCTGGTCTCAGCACAGAGTGAAGGGAGAGAGAGTACATGTTCAATAATTTTTGGGGTCTGACTATTAAACTTGTGGAGCTCTTGAATTTCCCTTTGATCCACTCCATATTCTTCTTTATATGGATTTGTATTAGTAAGACTATATTAAATTAGGCAAAATTCACCACGTTGAATTAAGAGCAAAACAGTTTACCAGGGAACCTTCACAAATGGAAGTCAGTCTTGCACTGTACAAAGTTAATCCTTCTTTCCAGACAGAGCATCACAAGTGCTGTTCTAAGGAACAACAGCTTTTGGAGGTTGCTATTTCTGGCATTATTAGCCCAGGCTGAGTTTTCATGTAAGCTTAGCTCTTTGGTAGCTCAAGCTCTTCGAACAAGTTTGTGGTCCTAACTGGTTTGGTTTGGTTTTCCAGGAAAATCTGAAGAGTTGGATCCAGGGGAATTTGACAAACTGTGGCCGATCAGTGTTTCTCTTTGATGAAATGGATAAGATGCACCCAGGTCTGATCGATGTGATTATACCATTCCTTGGACCCTCCTGGGTTGTGTATGGAACCAACTACAGAAAAGCTATCTTCATTTTCATAAGGTAAGAGAACTCCCTCTGCGGCAAGTATAACTGGGTTGGGGATAATTCTAATGCAATGCTACTAATTTGGTCAAATGTTAGTAAGTTCCTCCCTATTTTAATCACCCAGAGCAGGTATTTTCTGTCAGATCCATGAGATCTGAATTCATTTTAGTCTGCAAAGGTACATGGTCTCATAGTGCTTTGCCTTTTCCGCTATCTGGCAACCTCTGTAGCAGTCTTCATAGGCCAACTAAGACTGCTTCCATACTCACTGCAGAATGAGGCACTGCCCCTGCAGTACAGTACTGATGTCATGGGATAACTTTCTGGTAATTTCTTGTCTTGGTCTTGCTCAGCAACGGAGGAGGTGAGCAAATTAATCAAATGACGCTGGATCTCTGGTATGCCCGCAAGGACCGGGAAGAGATCAGCCTGCAAGATCTGGAATCTGCAGTTTCAGAAGCTGTGTTTGAAAATCCCAATAGTAAGTCTTTCCATCAACTGGGAAATGCTTTTCAGCGAGCATGTTCACCAGCCGTGGGAGCCATACCCTATTTCACATAAGCCAATGATATTTATACAGTGTTTTACAGATATGTGTCAAGCTATTACCAGTTTTCAGGGAGAAGCCTGAGGTGGAGTTAGGACCTGGATGAATTGCTTCGGCAGATGATAGGAGGGTTCTGCTGTTCAAGCCTACAGAAACATTACCATGCTTAAAAGAGCTCCATTGGGAGAAGGGGCACACACGACTGAATAGTAGGCAGATAGGGTAGTGGGGCCCAGTAAGAAGCTAATTATTAAGGGCCTGATCCTGAGAGGTACTGAGTATGTAGAGATTTCCTTTATTTCCATGCTCAGCAATTCTTGGGATTGGGCCTAACATACGTTGGTGGGTCTGAAGTATCAGTACAGCTGTTAGGAACCATGTGCTTGGAGACCACTGGATTTGATTACTTAGTGGACAACAGATGGACCCAGCTCCCTCAGTTGAATCTGGAGCAGAAGCAGATCTGTTGTCTCTTCTAGGTGCTATGACTAGAGCCCGGCAAATCTGTGGATATCCACTTTATATCCACAGATATCTGCATTTCCAACTGCGGTTGTATTGTTGACCATCTTTGTGGCTCCTGGATTGGATGCAAATCCAAATGTTTGTATCCACACAGGGCTCTGACTATGACTTCTTGGAAACCAGCTCTGGTGGTGCTGGCTTTGACATCTGATTCCTCCTAGAGGGTGGGGGCATCTCCTATGCTAACAGGGTTGAATTCCAAAGAATTGAGAGAGACTCTGAAGGTAAAACTCTTTGCCTCCCCTTTTTCTCCTGCAGATGGGTTTTGGAAGTCTGGAATCATCGAGGAGCACCTCATTGATCTCCTTGTGCCCTTTCTCCCACTGAAGCAACACCACGTGAAGCAGTGTGTGGTGAATGAACTCATCCAGCAAGGCTTAACGGTACGACAGGACATCATTCAGGCAGTTGCTGACAGCATCCCCTACTTCCCAGAGGAGGAGAGAGCGTTCTCGTCGACAGGCTGCAAAACGGTAGCCTCTCGCGTCACCTTCTTCTCCTAACCTGAGAGAAGGAATCTTTCTCCAAAGCAGTGCACAGTTGAGGAGCTGGTAAGCAGCCCTTGGAGGATAAGTTTACCCATGTACTTGCTCAGATTCAGAGGAGCAGAATTTAAGCATTCTTAAAGCTGCTGTGCCCATTAAAACAGGGATGACCATTAAGAGCAACAGTTTGTGGAACTCTGATAGAACAAGTGCTGCCTCCATGCTAGTCCCACTGCTCTTCAGCCCTAAGACTGCCAGATGCAATCCTGGGAACAAAGGGCAAACTGACCTGATTCTAAGCACTTTATCAATCTGTTCTTTGCCCTGGGGGAGGGTGAACACAGAACAGCCAAGAATACTACTGTGATGTGTAAGTGGAGTTCAAAGGGGAAGAGGCTGGGATGTATCCCAGTGGCTGGGAAGGGTTCTTGGCTACTGCCACCTCCCTTTGATCGCTGGAGCTGAGCGGATCTTCCCTGTTACTCTCTGGGCAGCTGTCAAGAACTGAGCAGTCAAGATTCTCTGGCCTAGCTCCAATAAATGATCTTCCCTGGGCTGCTGACAAGGGAGTCTCACCCTCTAGTGCTTTTTTAATGGCATTTTTAAACATGTATTTTAATGTGAATCTCAGTATGAAGGCCCCAATGTCCTAGAGCCTGCCATACTGCCCTGTGAACATTCTAAACAGATGGACCAGAGTCTCATCTTAAATCTCTGGGGTAAATGTTAAGAGCCAACTTTTCTCAGGTTTTCTTTCACTGTGAATAGGAGCTAGTAGGTAAGATTCCAACTGCAGTATCCCTGAGTGCATTAGCATAAGGGAGAAAAGGATGTGTGATTTCTGTTACCAGCTCTCCCCACGACTTGGGGTGTGACCTTGAGCCAGGCCCTTAACCTCCCTGGACATTTCTTCCACCACAGAATACCAGGTCGCTCCCTTTGAGTCAGTGGCAATTATTTGCATCTTGCCAGGGAAGAATTGGGAGCCACCCATATCAGTCTTTCCAGATATAAAAATAGTGATTCCTACCTCGCAGGGAGACTAGACATTAACTAATGGTTTTAAGTACCAGGTATTAGTCTTGTGCTGTATTACATTGCTGGGATGAGTGTGTCTCATCTGAGTTGTGTTGAACTGCTGAACCTCTTGCATATTATATATTAGAGGTTGTCGTTCTGATAGGACACTGCTGAGAACCTGTTGTCCCTGGCAGAGCCAGTTTCCATTCCAATTCAGTGCCTCAGATGCAGCTTACTGTATCACAATTAAATGCTGCTGGGGGTAGGAAATAATTCATAGGAATCTACTTCCCCAAGCTCTGCTATCACTGACCAGCACAGCACTCTGCCCTTTCACCGTGTAGCAGCTGGCTACCCAGCATACAGTAAGAGGAAACCATGTAAGCTCTATCTGAGCAAACAGATTTGGGGCTAGGCAGAAAGTGCTCCAGGAACTCTCATGCCAGTTGCCGCAAGAAGGTCTCTTCAGTACAGCACTAGAGCAACCTGCACTCTGGTTGAGAAGGAGCCGGTGCTATTACACTCTGTTCAGATCCTGCCCAGGATACAGCTGGACCAAGATACAGATTTACAGTCAAACATTCTGCCTTTTCCAAAATGTTCATTGTTTTTAATTTAAAATAAATCTGTTGAAAAAACATGCATGAGAAGCAGTCACTTACCTCCTTTCTAAACTCCCAGTTATCTATGAGCCTGCATAATGCATTGGAACAGCTGCCTGACCTGACAAAACGAACTCAAGTAGGGACATGGAGAAATATCTACTGTCTAATGATGGAAAACAAAAGCAGTGGTCTTCCTCTGGTGTAAAAGACCAGTGAAAGGGCCATACTCAACTATAAGAAGTACCATGCATCCTCAGTGGGGGTAGCTGGAGTAGGGAATGGTGACGTCTCAGCTGCTCTCTGTCAAAGTTAAACACCAAGAGAGCACTGGCATCTGTTTTCTCTGCCACGTATGTCCCTTTGTTTAAAAACCCAAGGAGTTGCTCAGGAGACCATTAAAACTGCAACAGAGATATTAGAGCAGAACAAATGTTATCTTCCACTTCATCCTACAACCAGAGTTAGCAGTGATATTTTCATCTGAAGGGGGAGACCCAGTTGCTATGGTTGTTTTTTCCCTCAAGTTTTCATGGTCAACCTCCTCACTTGTTTTAACACTAATTGAAACTGAAACCTTTTTGTTGTTTTGGAAACCAGGTTTAGCACTCTCCTTTCCACCCAAGTCAGAGCAATTGAGGTGAGAGTTTGGGGTAGACGGGACAGGTATAACTTCACAAAACTTTCAATACATGGCATATGTATGTCAGCCACCCAGCGTGACTAGCATTAGATTAACACACCTGGTTTAAGAGTTTATCCTAATCAAAGCATTGCTCCTGCTCAGCCTGCATTCAGATTAATGCAGTGCACAGAGATGGTTCACAGCTAGTCTGCTTTCCTGTCCAAATCTTATCACTATGTAGGTAACTTAACACTAGCCCCCTTAGACGTTCACCTCTAAAGCAGCAGTATTACAAGTTTCTTGTTAATTCAGCACCCTTCTGTGGCAGTAGCTTGCAGTACAGCAAAGCCTGTAAATATAGTGACTTCCTGGAAAATAGCCTAAAATTCTTGGCAGAGCTGGCTTTCCTGCTTTGGGAAGACAGCTCCTAGGCTACCTGGACAATGGCTGGGTCCACACCTTGCAGGAGGAAAGGAGGTCTGTGCAGATACCAAAAAAAAATAAAGATGAGAAACAGGAGGGGGCTACAGAGGAAGTGAAGTGAGAGAAGCAATATATTTATTAGAGCTGAGATAGCAGGACAGGAGTCTAAATGCACCTACTTTCCATTGAAAAACAGCTTGGTGTCTGTAACCCAGGCAGCTCAGGTGCTGTCTCCAACATGAAGCTGGAGCGGTTTTTGTACTCTGACTTTTCCTGCCTTCTCACTTTTTCTTCTCCACGACAGCTTCACTTACTTTATTCACTCTCCTTCTGGAGATAGCTATCTGCTTGTACAGTTCTTGTTCCGTGGCACAAGGGCTGATGATGCTCTCTGAATCCTTCAGGGCTCTCTCGGGCTCTTCCCTCTGAGCACCTGGTTTCTTTGGTTCATCCTCTATAGCTCCGGGTGGCCTGTAGGGGCACATGAAAGGCAGAGACCTTACTTTTTGCAGCTGCTCTGCAAAGTGATGCATGAACAGATCCCCTCAGAGAGCATGTGATCTAGTCCTTGTGACAAGATTCACAGTCTATAGAAAGATGGCAAGCTACTGTCCTTTTAGGATCACAAAAGGACAAAAAACTATCTGGAATAAATCTGTCACTCCTGCTCCCATTGAAATCCTTGCAGATTTTGTGGTTGACTTGGGTTCCGGTTGTCCTACATAACCCAAGAATAACGATACAGTACTTCTAGATCCAGGAAGTGATCAGGCTTAAAAGATTTGTATTTTGTAATCAGCAATTATTAGATCTTCAAAACAACTTTAGCAGACCTGTCCCCAGTGCCTACTCCGTACCATTGGAGTTTAGCTGGGCTGTTGGAGTAGGGGCAGGCTTGAAGCTTTCTTTCCAAGATTGTTCTGGCAACCTCCGCAATCTTGCTGCTTATAATATCCTGGATGGGCTGTCCTGGAAAGAGGCTGGTTACAACAGGTAGGACCTGCTGAGGGAATGAGATCAGTTGAATGGCCAGATGTGTGCTGAAGGAAAGAGTTCTTCCTCCTTCCATCATCAGATAGGGTTGCAAGGATTAAGCTGTGCAGTTCCCATTAGAGCAGCCAAACACTTGCATAAGTTACATTAAAAATATATTCTAGCATTTATGGCCAGAAGGGACAATCAGATCATCTAGTTTAACCTACATTGCCCAGGCCAATAGCCACCCTACCCCAAATCCAACCACCAGAATTAGACCAGCGTATTACAGCCTTGAGGCATAAGCCTCAGCGTTAATTTTTTTTTTAATCCAAATGAAATCTTGCTAGTTTAGGGATTCTGGTTTTAAATTTAAAGAAATATTTAATCCATCAAAACCTTTCAGGGAGGGTGGGGGAGAATGCAATTCCTGGGAAATGAAGGACTAGTTTATACTCAAGGGCACATAGTACTTTGTTTAGCTAGCATGGTAGGTGGATGTGGGGTTTTATTTTTCCACTCAAGCCCTGGTCTCGTTTCCTGATCGCTCTTAGTCACAGGGGGTTGCATGCTCTGAAGCCAGATGCATCATGAGCAGCTTGAAAACACAAGAAACAAGTTCTTGGTTTATAGGCAGCAGAAAAAAAGCCTCCTTAGGTTTTTAATTTTAGCAAATAAATGCTGCAACCCCCAAGCCCTAATCATTATTATCTGTATTACCGTAGTGTGAGGGGGAACCTTGGTCCTGGACCAGGACCTCACTGGGCAAGGCACTGTTCAGACACAGAACAAAGACTCTCTCTGCTCTAAGGAGCTTGCAGTCTAAGTGTGTGTGTCCAGGATACGGCACAAGGACTACGGGCCCAGATGAATAGGGTGTCACAGATTTTCACTACTTGGTCAGTGTCTGGCACAGGGAGTGGTGTCAGTGAGGTACCGCCTCATTTTCAGGGTCCAGCAACAGAGTTATGATCACATCCTCCTTAGCACTCATCACATCCTGCAGGAACAGGCGGCTCTTGGCCCGGTGCAGGTAATAGTGCGGCAGGCGAGGGTTGCTCTCGATAGCACCAGAGAAACAGTATACTGCCTGCTGGTACTTTCTGGGAAAAAAGATACAGGGAAACAGAAGAGTCAGGTGTGCAGACTCCCTAGGCAGCATGAGCTAGGGGGATAAGAACTCTGTCAACTGGATGTAAGGTGGCAGTGAGCCATTCCAACATACCCCTGCTTGTGCTCCTGCAATCCTAGTTCATCCAGCAACATACCAACGCGTCTTCGCAAACTAAAGTCCATCGGACTCAATTCCAGCGCCTGCTGATAATCCGCCAAGGCAAAGGTGAGCTCTCCCAGCCGGAAGAGGCAGTCTGAAGTGGAGCACACAGATTACTTTAGCAAACAGCAAGCTGAGGTCAGTATTTGTAGCAGCTATAACATCCCAAGACACTCAAAGTCCAGTAATTGATGCGCAGCCTGTTTACTCTCTCTAGATATCTCCAAGCATATATAAAATGCAACAATAACATGTCTCTACAGTGCCTCCCATCGCAAAGGCTCCAAAAGCTCTGTACAAAGCGTAGACACACGGAAGCAACTGGAGGAACAGTGCTGTAGGAGAGCTAGATATTATTCACTGAAATGCAGCCACCTGTAGGGTGGAATGCAACAGCAGTTCAACAGTGCTTAGAAACACCATGTAGCAATCAGCACACTATAGTGGGATTTTAGGGAGGCAGAATGTAGTTTCCAGTTTGGAATTAACAAGGTGACAACCTCGACTGTTGCAAAAAGTTCCATGGGATCTTTCCTGGTGATAAATTGGATGAGATGGGAATGTGAGGGCGCAACCAAAGAAGGTGCTTCCAGTAGCACAGATGGGGAATGAGTCCGTAATAATCATTAACAGTTAGTAGTTATGCAGCACTTTCCATTTTCAAAGGGCTTTGCAAGCATTGACTAATTAATCTTCACAACCCCCCATGCAATAGGTATTAGTTACGTTTAAAAGAGGAGGAAACCAGGGTGCAGAGAAGTTAAGCAACTGACTGTGCATCCCGGAATGAATCAGTTACAGAATTAGAGATAGAAGCCCAGAGATCTAGCTTCCAGTCCCTTACTCAGACTCCACTGCCTCCCTGGTACGGAGAATGGGAGGAAAGAATGCCACCTGCAGCACCCTTCAAGGTCTCCCATTTGAACACTGACTATGCTTTACTTATGAAATCCAACATGATTGCATCCTGGGCAGGGTAGCTATAGGCATTGTATCTCCCCCCTCACGTGTGCACCCGTACATACACAACCACATGGTTCCACCGCTGTCAGCACACTCACTCATGCACTCCCTTATCCCAAGGAACATTTCTGGTTGTTTCTAAACATATGTGAGAGTTAAACAGCTAAGCTGTGTCAGAGAGAGAGGCTACCCCAATGGGATACCCTCACGCAAACTCCATCACCACCCAGGAAGAGCCTTGCTACCTCCTCTGTTGACATAGAGTCCCTTCTCGTTCTTCTCCCCTTTCAGGGCTTTGTTGAGGAGCAGCAGCGCCTCTTCGAAGAAGCCCTGAGTATAGCAGTGCACTGCAAAGTCGTTGTACGTGAGCAGGAGCTGCCGTTGCGCCTCCATGGCCACAGCTCCCTCTTCTTCACAGAGCTCTGTGGCCTTGATGTAATCATCAATGGCTGAGTTGAAGTCTTTGAGCCTTCTGTGTAGAGTCCCTCTGCCATGAAGGGAGGGAGACAGGATTAGAGCCCACTGGTTAAGGAGAAATTAAAATGATAGGGGCGTTCAGACCCTGGAGCCAGCACGCACTCACTAGTGCGGACTCCCACTCCCCTTAGTGGGTCACAGAGAGCCACCTCAGTAAGGACTGGATACAATGGGGTCTCTACCTGAAGATTAAGTATCCTGCATCAAAGGGGCTGTTCTCTATGGCAAAGGTGATTTTGAGCAGGGCATCCTTCAAGTTTCCCTTCAAGGCCTTATTCATAGCCTGGTTCTTGGCTTTCTGTGCTCGTTTCAGCAGCCTCTGCATTTGAACCTGAGCTTCTTTGTGCTGCGGCTCCAGCGCAATGGCCTCCTGGATGTCCTGGTAACACAAGACAGCCTGGGAACAGAGGTTAGGAGAATACTAAGAACTTGCACTCTCCTCCCTCTGTTACCGAACACTTTACAAAGGGGAACTCAGGATCATTATCCCCATTTTGCAGACAGGGAGTTTGAGACACAGATTTGCCCAAGGCCACACACTGCATCAATGGCAGAGCCAACACTAGAAACCCAAATCTCCTGGCTCCCAATCTGGTGCTTGTCCACTAGGTCATACTGGGCAAGAGGCAGTTTCTCTGATCTGTCTCATTCTGTCTATGCATTTGCCACACCGCTGTGAGCGGCTGATAAAACAGGAAAACAGGTGGCTCAATGGATTCTCCAGAATCCTGTCATTCAGACCCTGATTTCTAACCAAGGGCACCAGTTGTTCCTGCAGGTGCAGGGCAAGAGGAGTCCCGTTTCTAACAGGAAATACAAAACAGAAATAAGATCTCCAGTTACTATCTCTGATCTCCTCACGGTTGAGGGCACCACACTTCTGCTGAGCCAAGAAACGTGTGATCTCCCATCAAAGAAAAGTACACTACCCACAGAGTGAGGCTCTGCTTCCATCTCTCTGCCTGCTTTCTATAGACCAAGGAGGGAGAAGGCTCTGAAATGGTGTAGGATTCCATGGCCAAACAGGAGGGGAAGGTAAGAGCCCTGCCCCAGAGGTGCGGAATCCCACAGCCCAGGAGGCTGTTATCTAGAAGAGATAGAAACCATCAGTTTCTCAAAAGGAGTGAGAGCAGCTGGAAAGGTTTAGAATCATGTCTCTTGAAACCAATTTGATGCTTTATGCTAACTTATTAACCACAGAGCAACTTAGCTCTTCTCTGTCCTTAGGAAGCAATTCCATATGAAATCCATATCCAGCCTTGCACATATGCTGTTGCTTCCCATTACTTAGGTAACTATCAATTCACCCAGCAAAGGGTTAATCCTGGAGCTGGAAGTGTTGACCCATTGTCCGGCAGATTGAGAACGGTAGCTATAGGCCACATTGGGACAGGAATGACTGTTCTGTGAAAATTTCCTGCAGCCAGCACACCCTGGGCAGAGTAGGTGCCCCTACCCGACTGAAGTGCTCATTCAGCTTGGCTCTCAGGATGTACAGATCTGGGTTCTTTGAGTCCTGATCTAGCTCTTCATTGACGAGCCGAAAACAGTCATGGTATCTGTTCAGGGCAGCAAGACAGGAAATGCTAGAAAGAAAAAGAAAGGGCATCATAAAGTACCAATGGAGAATACAGTTGTTAGAGAGGCTAGGATAAAGACATTCCCTATCCCAGTTTACCTCCTCCTGCGATAGACTGAGTTGTCAGGCTGCAGTTCTGAGGCTCGAGTGAAGGACTCTAAAGCATCCCCATAGACCTCTTGGTCAAACAGAGACTGGCCCTGCGGATTCAAATCCCACAGCACAGAATCAGTCTGACTCAGGCCACCTGCCCATTGCTCCAGGTTAACGAGAGAGACAGAGCATTCTCTCTCTCTCTCTCTCCAACTAATCCAGGAACGGAAGAGGAGATGCAGCTGCACTAAATACCATTCCCTCCTAGCTGGAAAGCACTGAGCATGCATGAACCCCAAATGGGACTTTTGGCTCTTCCTGTGCTGCAAATAAATTAGCATGTGGAGAGGAGGCCCCAGCAGACTAGGCATGAATATGAACAGTAGAAACATGAAAACTTTCAGAGAGGAAGGATTGGAGAGAATCCCCTATCCCCAAATATAAGTATGCTCAAAGGACTCTCTCTTGGAAATCCAAGATCATGTTGACTTCCACTTCAAGTAGCATCTTCAGATTTCCCTCAAGATCAGAGGTCAGACACTAGACCCAGTATGCTAATGCTGATAGTGAAAGATCAAGGAAAGGCACGTGGCGGGGATAGGGAAGGCTGGTGCCAGCTGGTAGGGGCTATTCTGTACCCTTCACCTGCAGGTAAAGAATGAAGGCCATGCGCTCTACATATTCTTCCTTTGCAGAGGACAAGGAATATGCCTTTCTGAGGTTCAGCACAGCAGACTGGAAATCACAGAGCTTGAGAAAGGCTTCTGCCTTCTGTACATAGAACTCCACCTGCAAATGCACCCACAGACATTCCTCAGTCCTGGAGGATAACTTTCTTCCTTATCCTGTTTATCCTTTATCTGGACACATTGAAACTAACCCTTTGAGACTCATCACTGCAATCCTGCCCAGACAGATTTTAATATACGCCAATGACATTCTTCATTTGATAATCTTGGAAACGCAAGAACATTACAGGCTTTGTCCTTCCCGCTGAAGGACTCCATATCCCCATGCCATGCAAGGTGGGCTTGTAACTTCACCTAACTATGCCTGTTCTGCATTCCCCCTTGCCTAATCACGTTCCTCTTACCTGTTGGGGGTTCAGGTTAATGGCTTTGGAATAACAAATGACAGCTTTCTCCCACTCGCCTTGGGAGAAGAATGCCTTCCCTCTCTGACAGCTGTGATGAGAAGACAGCATTATGAGCTAATGCAGAAGTACATTTCCCCTCCCTGCAGCACAGCCTTTGTGACAGTCACAGACCCATGGGAGCGCTGACTCAGTTTCCCTACCTGTAAACTGGAGATAATAATTGTATCTGCAAGGGTGTTACGAGGCTTAATTCATTATTCGTTAAGCACATGGAGAGCTTTGGGTGGAAGGTAGTAGAAAAGAGGACAACTGTCTCTACAAGCACACTAGCCAGTGTTCTGAGCCTTCTCAAGATCAAAAAGGGGAACTTGCAGGACCACAGCTCTGCTAATTGACCAGCACTGCCCACCTATTGATTCTGCAGCAGACTCTGGTGACCCCACTGCTCATATGCTTAGGGAGAACAGATTCTGAAATGCAGGAACTGGGGACTACCGGTAGACACTAGTAATGGGATAAAGATGCTATCATCTCTAGGTCACTCGGTCATAAGCTCCTCAGCTTGGTAGTCACTGAAGCCATCTGACGGTTGTTTGGTGGCCTCACCATATTTATAGAGTCTGTCATGGAGGTTAGAGGACCTATGATTTTCCTAGGTTTTATCCTAAAATGGGCTATGGGTGAGTGTCTCTGTTCTGCCTGTTCTGATGTGAGGAAATCAAGGGGCAGTCAGCACAGTGAAACATCAGACAGTCTTCCAGATGGCAGTTCAACTGCAGATAATCTGCCCTCACTTTTAGAAAATTACCTAGCATGGCAGCCATTTCTGGTGAAAATTCCCAGCTTAAGTTACTAGGTCTCAGTTCAGTTCCTAGAGGACAGGTTACACCATCACAGTATGCTCTTATTGGGTCCTGGCTGGCAATCTCAACAGAGAGACCAAGGACCAAGCAGGCTGTACAGCCTGACCTCCCTCTTGCCCATAGAAGGGAACCCACCAGAGCAGGCTTAGGGCACAGTGGCTGGGCAGGGGAAACTGCAGCCCATGCTGTACCTGTTCTGTGGATAAATCAGACACCAGTCCCCCAGGACTGTCATTCCTCGAACCAGTACTAAGTAAGGTTTTTTAAAAGTTTGGTTCCGGCCTCCTTGCAGGACGTGGACAAGAAACCAGGTGTTTGTAACAGTGAAAATGTATGAAGTGTCTGCTGGGCACTCACTGCTCCTGTATCTTTTTCTGCACAATCGCTGTCGGGGACTTCACTCCGCTGGGGTCCTTGATGTCTCGCAGAGTCTGGCTGGACCCAAAGATCTGTTGCAGGGATCTCTCCCGGAGATCCTCTTTGGACACAGCAGTCGGGAACAGCCCTTTAGTCTCTGTCTTCATCTCCAGTCGCACCTGCAGGGAGAGAGGCTGATGGTCACTCTTCCTCCCCACCCCCCTGCTGGGGTCTCTGCCCTTGGCCACCACCCCACAGCTCTAGTCCCCGGTGACCTCTGACCCCTGGTTACATCTGACCTGTCTCAGCTCCCTCTGATCCCACCCCAGCTCTGCACCTGGCACTCTCCACACCCCCTCGCCCAGCTCCCTCTGCCCCCACTGCTCTGTGCTCTCTGCCCACCCGCTCTGTGTCAGTCGCCCTCTTCCCCCTCTGCCCCCACCCCTCTCAGCTCCCTCTCCCCCCCAGCTCTGTGCCCTGTGCCCCCACCCACTCAGCTCCCTCTTCCCCCCCAGCTCTGTGCCCTGTGCCCCCACCCCCTCAGCTCCCTCTGCCCCCCCAGCTCTGAGCCCTGTGTCCCCACCCCTCTCAGCTCCCTCTGCCCCCCCAGCTCTGTGCCCTGTGCCCCCACCCACTCAGCTCCCTCTGCCCCCCCCAGCTCTGTGCCCTGTGTCCCCCGCAGCTCCCTCTGCCCCCCTGCGCAGGCAGCGGTGCTCACTTTGCTCTGCCCCGGCTCCTCCTGCGGTGCCACCGCCGTCGCCATCCCAGCGGCTGCGTCCCTCGTTGCTAGGCAGGCGGTATCCAGGCAGCTGGGGGCGGGCCCGGAGTGAGAAGGTTCCATGGCCAGGGCAGGATCCCCGCTGCGCTCGCATGGGCCCCTGTGAGCCCGGCCTGGGAGGGAGGGGCAGGGCTCGCAACAGCCCCTCCCACGCCGAGGTCATTAACCTGGGTGATGGGCAAAATCCTGGTGTCCCATCGAACTGCAGCCAGCTAGGTAGGAAGGGGCACGAACCTGCCCCTGAGCAGGTGGGCTTGTCTGATCGGGGTCAGGACGCCTGGGTTCCATTCCCAGGTCTGCCGCTGACTCGCCATGGGCGTGTGGGCAGGGCACTGGTTTTCCACCAGAGCTGCTCCACTGGTGTCTGGAGCAGGCCAGACTTTTGCAGTCACCCATGTTCTCTACCCTAGGGTGACCAGTCATCCCATTATTAGGGGCTTTGTCTTAGATATGGAATTGTAAACATCCCCACCCCCCCAGAAAAAAGTGTCCTGATTTTTCACACCTACTGTCTGGGTCACCCTACTCTACCCCGTGGGATTCTGAGCCGGACTAGAGGACATGGTGTTAAACATACTGATCGCCGTCAGGAGTCTGGTTCCATTGCCAATGCAAACATTGAAAAATCACAAGACAGGCCCCAAATTATGAAACTGGTTTAAAAATTAGGAGATTTTAACACTAATATATTTGGGATTCTTTGCACTTGCCTTCTGGTTTGGGGACATTTAGAGGTCGAGTTTTCAAGCTTTTCTCCCCAACCCTGAGGGCTATAAAGTTACTCCTTTTTCAATGAAATTCTCAAGTAATAACAGGTTTCAGAGTAACAGCCGTGTTAGTCTGTATTCGCAAAAAGAAAAGGAGTACTTGTGGCACCTTAGAGACTAACCAATTTATTTGAGCATAAGCTTTCGTGAGCTACATCCGGTTGCATCCGATGAAGTGAGCTGTAGCTCACGAAAGCTTATGCTCAAATAAATTGGTTAGTCTCTAAGGTGCCACAAGTACTCCTTTTCTTTTTTCAGGTAATAACCTGAGTCTGGCACTTGGGGCTTTAAGATAAACACCACAAATCATAGCACAATAAAATCACAAGAGTTGCCAACTCTGAATCTTGTCTACACTAATGCTTCCACCAACTGTGGAACTATTGTAATGGTGGCTGTATAAGTACCTTAGATAAATAGATGGCAGCTGATGGGCCATTTAGACTAGTTCTATGTCTACAGAAACCTGTTATCGCTATCATTTTCCTCCATTGCTACCACCAGAGCAGCTGTTACCAGTGGTAATAGTACATAGCAATAGTTGTAAGGGATTTCCAGGGTAGCTTTGTTAGTAACATACTGATCAGAGTTCAAGGATTTTTATCCTCTAATAATACTTTGTGTTTCTCTAGCACCTTCCATCCAAGGATCTCAAAATGGGTTGCAGATGTGGTTATGGCATACAACTGAGATTCCTAGGTTCTAGTCCTGGTTTTGCTACAGACTTTTGGTGTGACCTTGGACAAGTCATTTAATCTCTCTGTGCCTCATTTTACCAGCTGAAGCAGGAGAATAATTTCCTACAACAGTAGGTTTGGGAGTTAATTTCTTAAATGTATGTGGAGTATTTTGAGATGCTTGGTTGAAAAGAAGGGAGGTTCAATTAAAAAAAAATAGTAATGGGAATTAAGCCTCATTTTACTCCTTTACATCTGGATTAACCCCATGTTACAGAAACCAAAACACAAAGGAATGTTACCAAAACAATAGAACCCAGCAGTCCTGACGCCTAGATTCCAGCTCCATACTACCTCTGTATGTTCAACAGCTGTGTGGACCTGGGTTTAAAGCTGCCATTTACATCTATGATCCAAATGGGTAAAATAATTTGAGATGGGGAATCCCATCCTGTGGATCATTACAACGTGATGTTCATCCCATAGTAGTGATGGAACTTTTTTTCTTGCCCAAATGTCAACTGAGGGAGACTTTTCTGAAGCATCCTTGTCCAGTACTAGTGCCATGCAGAGTGACTGATATTCTGATACAGGGCCTTCATCCGCTATAAATGTATTAAAGCTGATTACATCATGTGACAGACAGATCGAGGAAGGTTGGTCTGACCTGGCAGCTTTGATGCAGCCTGCAGGCATGAATCCTGTGCCTGGTAGCTCTGCCAACAAGCAAGCAGTTGAAGACCCTTGTTGCGTTACATAAGTCACCAGCTCTTCCACTCTGATAAAGGGACCAACAAAGATTAAACGAAAGGGTCCCTCATAAAGGAAACCAAGGGCAGCCGGCCTACAGTGGCTGAACACTTCCGCCCACAAGAAAGATGGCCACATCTGCAGACCACGTGGCCTACGCCCTTCCTGCACCATAATCAAAATGGTCTCACCCACCAAACCACGTGGTGTGAATCCCTTCTGCCCGCAAACAAGATGGCACTGCCACGTGGTAGGGTGCGGCCTTTGTGATTGGTCGCCGTGGGCGTGACGCTTAAGAAGCAGAGCGGCTGCTCCTCAGGGGTGCTTGTGCCCTGAGGTCTCGGCGGCGCCGAGGCGGCGGCCGCTCAGCTGGGGAAAGAGAGGGATGCTGCGGCCGCCACCCAAGCGCCTCGGGAAGTTACTGAGCCGCACCATGAACCACTGCGAGGCCGATCCGCGCGCCGTCGGGAAGCGGGTCCTGGTAGAGAGTGGGCGGAGGGAACACTTCCGGGGCACAGGGGAGAGACGGCGCGGGAGGAGGGATCACTTCCTGGTCACGGGGCGATGGGGTCGAGAGAAGGCGGCAGGGCCAGTGGGGGAGCTGGGGGCGCCAGGGCGACGAGGCGTAGGCCCTTGGGTACCACCCTGCCTGGGCTCAGCGCTGACCTGGCTATGCTGGAGCCGGGGTCCGCAGCCGCCTTCTTTCTGAGCCCCCCGCTATAAACACGCCACAGCCCACCCGTGCCAGGACGATTGCTTTTCTCCATGTAAAATCTACGCCTGGCATTAAGGGGTAGGAAGCAGGGCAGTTGCCCGGGGGCCCACGCCACAAAGGGCACCGTGAAATGAAGTTGTCAGGCCTCAGGCTGCAGTTCTGCATGGTGAGAATTCAGCTTTCTGCCCTGTGCCCTAGCGAGTCTAATGCCAGCCATGCTCGGCGGACCCCCTGAAACCAGCTCGCAGCCCCCCAAGGGGCCCCAGATCCCTGCTTGGGAGCTACTGTGTGGAGGATGTCAGCACGACCCATGGATCAGACCAGCCCCTTAAGTTCCCCAACCTGCAGGAGCAATAGCTCTGGGCATCACTAGCCCATAGGCATGCTGGCTGCTTGCTGGAAGGCTGGTTTTCTGTTCCACATACTGTTCCGTGTTGAAATGGAGAAAGTACACTCAGATCTGAAGTGTCGCAAAGCACCCAGTAGGGTCTGTGCTTGGGGGGAGGAAGAGGGGAAAAGCGTCAGTTCACAGGTCCCAAGATTGTACCGATTTGCAGACAGCAGTTTCACATGCATGCTAGATGTGTGACCCCCATGTGCCAACTCACTGCATCTGTTTGCATATAGACACACACCTTTAATTTTAAAACCATGATTCAGAACTGTATTTGAGTGGAACAAAATAGAAGTTAACAAATAGCATAATCCAGTCATAAGTTCCCCAGCCTCTTTGTGACTTTGTAGACCAGGGGTCAGCAACCTTTCAGAAGTGGTGTGCCAAGTCTTCATTCATTCACTCTAATTTAAGGTTCCGCGGGCCAGTAATACATTTTAACGTTTTTAGAAGGTCTCTTTCTATAAGTCTATAATATATAACTAAACTATTGTTGTATGTAAAGTAAATAAGGTTTTTAAAATGTTTAAGAAGCTTCATTTAAAATTAAATTAAAATACAGAGCCCCCCGGACCAGTGGTCAGGACCCGGACAGTGTGAGTGCCACTGAAAATCAGCTCGCGTGCTGCCTTTGGCACATGTGCCATAGGTTGCCTACCCCTGCTATAGACTACATGCTTCATAGGAGCAATCCCATCTCTTGAACCTTCCTCCCTTTGACGCTTACGTGGCTAATGAGAACATTCACAGTGACAGTGGATAAGATAAAATATGCAAGGGGAGTGACAATTCAAGGCCAAAGCCAATGTTTGACAGGTTAAGAAGAGATTTCCCCCATGATGGGGTTATTTTCTAGTTGCTCACTATTACAAAGACCTTGATGTCGTATTACGAGGTATGGGGTATGAGCTGCATAAGCAGCACTATACTGATCAAGAGGGACCACAGGTCTGATCTGCTTTGTCAATTTTTATGTTCCCTCCCAGCTATCCCACAACACACACGCTACTTGGTTCCCAAAATAATTCATTTTGCTGCCCACCACAAAGCGTTCCATGGATGATAGATTCACAACCAGTGTTCTAATAAACTAATAATGAACAGAAAACAAACAAGACTCAGGTCTGCTACCCCACACTTCCATCTATATCTCCTGGTAATCTTTATACCTCTCCCTTTCACAACTGCATTAACCTTTGCAAATGTTTCATAGTCAAATGTGATAGTGTCACTATCCAATGTCATATTGTATGGAAGTGCACCATACTTGTTCCTCCAACTACCACCCCTTCTTTCATCTCTCAGCGCATTGAATGCGCTGTTTACAATCACTGTCTGGAGTTCCTCCCCTCCAATCCCATCCCAGACCCTCTCCGATCCAGCTTCTGTACCTTGCACTCCACTGCAACTACTCTCACCAAAGTCTTTAATCATAGAATCATAGAATATCAGGGTTAGAAGGGACCTCAGGAGGTCATCTAGTCCAACCCCCTCCTCAAAGCAGGACCAATACCCAACTAAATCATCCCAGCCAGGGCTTTGTCAAGCCTGACCTTAAAAACTTCTAAGGAAGGAGATTCCACCACCTCCCTAGGTAACACATTCCAGTGTTTCACCACCCTCCTAGTGAAAAAGTTTTTCCTAATATCCAACCTAGACCTCCCCCACTGCAACTTGAGACTATTACTCCTTGTTCTGTCATCTGGTACCGCTGAGAACAGTCAAGGTCCATCCTCTTTGGAACCCCCTTTCAGGTAGTTGAAAGCAGCTATCAAATCCCCCTTCATTCTTCTCTTCCGCAGACTAAACAATCCCAGTTCCCTCAGCCTCTCCTCATAAGTCATGTGTTCCAGTCCCCTAATCATTTTTGTTGCCCTCCACTGGACGTTTTCCAATTTTTCACATCCTTCTTGAAGTGTGGGGCCCAAAACTGGACACAGTACTCCAGATGAGGCCTCACCAATGTCGAATAGAGGGGAACGATCACGTCCCTCAATCTGCTGGCAATGCCCCTACTTATATAGCCCAAAATGCCATTGGTCTTCTTGGCAACAACAGCACACTGTTGACTCATATCCACCTTCTCGTCCACTGTAACGTCTAGGTCCTTTTCTGCAGAACTGCTGCCGAGCCATTCGGTCCCTAGTCTGTAGCGGTGCATGGGATTCTTCCGTCCTAAGTGCAGGACTCCGCACTTGTCCTTGTTGAACCTCATCAGATTTCTTTTGGCCCAATCCTCTAATTTGTCTAGGTCCCTCTGTATCCTATCCCTACCCTCCAGCGTATCTACCTCTCTTCCCAGTTTAGTGTCATCTGCAAACTTGCTGAGGGTGCAATCCATACCATCTTCCAGATCATTTATGAAGATATTGAACAAAACCAGCCCCAGGACTGATCCTTGGGGCACTCCACTTGATACCGGCAGCCAACTAGACATGGAGCCATTGATCACTACCCATTGAGCCCGACAATCTAGCTAACTTTCTATCCACCTTATAGTCCATTCATCCAGCCCATACTTCTTTAACTTGCTGGCAAGAATACTGTGGGAGACCGTGTCAAAAGCCAAAGCTCAGAACCAGTACTACAACCTCATTGACCTGTCATCTGCTTGTCAGCCAGGATGTTGGAATCTTCTCCTCCCTTGGCTTGTCTGACTCCATCCTCTCCTGGTTCTCCTCTAGATCTATAATTACTCCTTCAGCATGTCCTTTGGAGGATCTCCCTCAACGATCACTCTTTCTGTGGGTGTCCTTGGTCTGCTTCTCATCTCTGCGTAATCTCATCTGTGAACACAAATTCAGCTACCATCTCTATGCTGAGGACTCCCATATCTACTTTTCTACTCCAGACCCGTCTTCTTCTGTCCAAACTAAAATCTCAGCCTGACTCTGTCATCTGGTGGATATCTAGCTCAAGCTCAACACGGCTAAACAGAGCTCTGAATCTTTCCCCACAAGCCCTCCCCGCTACCTCCTTTCTTGATCACTGTGGACACCACCACCATCCTGACCGTCACTTAGGTCCATAACTCTGGTGCCATCTTTGACTCTGACCTCTCAGTCCTCACATCCAGGCTGTCTAAGTCTTGCCAATTCTTTCTGCATAACATCTCTCAGACATAGCCTTTCCTATCCATCCACACACATAAAACTGTTGTCCAGGCTTTCATCATTGCATTTCAATTACTGCAATATCCTTCTGTCTGGCTTTGACAAATGCAGTCTTGCCCCGCTCATAACTGTTCAGAATGCTGCTGCAAAGATCATTTTTTTAGTCTGTCACTTTGACTACGTCACCTCTTTCTTTGAAACTTCCCGTTCTCTCTCTCTCTTCAAACATAAGCTGCTTCTCTTCACTTTCAAGGCCCTTCATGGCCTATCCCCACCCTACCTATCCTCTCTCTTTCACTGTGGAGACGTTGACTCCCACCTCTGATCAGCCCATGGTGCCAGCCTATCTCCCGCTTTCTCCTGTGCTGTGCCACATGTTTAGGAGACACTCCCCATAAACATCCACAAAGCTACCTCATTATCCACATTCAAATCCATCCTTAAATCTTTCCTTTTCCTTGATGCCTAAAAAATACTTGATATCATCTAATTGTTTTCTTGTACTCGACCCTCATCTGTTTGTTTTATACTTAGATTGTGAACTCTTTGGGATAGGGACTTTTTGTTTTATGTTTGCACAGCACCTAGCACAATGGGATCTTGGTCCTTCCCTAGGGCCCCTAGGCACTAGAGTCATACAATAAATGTTCCCATTTCTCCTTGTAAATGACCTTATGATGCCATGTCAGTGTACTGTGATTTCACAGATGGAACTCACCGTCTTTGGATTATGCTCTTTGCTCACGTAGGGATAAGAAATCGCAGGACAGATACGGCTCTTAGTCACCCTATGGCTTCTCATTCCTGGAGATGGGAGGTACAGCTGGAATGAGTGGGGGGACAGGGATCACCTAGGTTGCTAAGCTCATTTGAGCATCTTACTCAATCTCAGCCCATCTCAGTTCTGTTTAACAAGAGAGGGACAGGCCCTTGTAGCTACAGAGTCTGGCCCTACAGTAATCAACAATGGACATGGTGATTGTCTTGCTGCTTCTGAAGGGAAGCAGCTGGTTTTGCTGGGTGAATTTCTTGCCGGGGTGGTGAAAGGAGCCCGGCTGCAGGGAGGGCAAATTTGATCCTCACTACACCACAAGGGCTGACTCTAGTGACTCCGTTTGGTTGGATGCTGATATATAGAGAGTCCTGGTAACACCTGTTGCTGGTCCTCTTTGCAGGTGGCAGGGCTAGGGAATTATGGGCTGCAAGGAACCCGTCATAACGTGGGCATGGCGGTGCTCAATCAGCTGGCCCAGAAGTTGAACATCGCTGACCAGTGGAAAGCAGACAGACGCTGCTGCGCAGATGTGACCATCACCAATGTGGAGGAAGCAGAGCTGGTGCTGATGAAACCTCGGCGGCTCATGAACATCAATGGACTCAGTGTAGCAAGCGCTGGTGAGTGACTCCGAACACCTCCAATAGCCAGCTGAGGAATGTACACAACTGTAGCCTTCCAGGGACCCTTGTGCTTCACCTTTCATCTTCTTAGCCAGAGGGGACCACTCAGGGCTGTAAGCAACAAGTCTGAAATACCTGCCCTGGAACTACAGGGCCCACTCCTGCCAGGGTCAGTCTCCTTTTTCTTTTCTATGGAGCCAACGATGTAACAACTCTTAGGACTTCCTGGTTGTTCCATGGCCATTCAGGCAGAAAGACAGTAAAAGTAGACCAAGCTCAAGAACCTATCACTTGAGCTAAAGGAGAATATCCATTTCCAGTATAGGGCTTATGACACACAGTTGACCATAGCCAGTTCTGTCCAGTAGACGGCGGTGCACACACACACACACACAATCTCCTAAACCCATTACTAATTTTTCACACCACCCTTGGGAGATGGAGAAGATTAACTGAGTTCCATGCAGTTTGCCATTTTGGCATCTCTAGGAAAAAACAGATGGCAAGGTTCGGAACCAAGGTCCTGAGGGCTCTGCACAGACATCAGAAATCCCAGGGCAGTTTTCAGAACAATCAGGCTTTTCCCTGGCATGCTGGGCTATGAGTTCCGCTCCTCACACTGTTGCATAGCCTGCAGCAAGCTAGTTGGCTACGACCGTCCAGCCCGCTGTGTTTCAGGGGTGTGGACTGTAAAGTACTTTTGGCCAAAAGACAATAGCGGTGCAGAGCAGTATCACGTGGTGCAGACATCAGGCAGCTCCAGTGACAGCGTGTGCAGCTAGTTTGCCAGCATGGCTGATAGTGCATTCCTGAGGTTAGAAGTTCTCTTCGCCCTGCTATGCACTTCCTGCCCTCCACGTCCCCTGTCATTTTTTAATCACTGTTGCCTGCAGTGTCCTTCTTTAGGTCCCCGAGGCTGTGGGATGGTGAGAGATGGATTTAATTTTTCCTCACTTCTTGTGCGTTGTTTCTTTCTCAAGCTGAAACTTACAACCTCGGGGTAGAAGACATTTACCTCGTTCACGACGACCTGGAGAAGCCGCTGGGGAAGATGGCGATAAAGTTGGGAGGCAGCGCAAGGTACGAAGGGAAAGCCCCTGTGGAAAATGACCTTGAAAGATTTGCTTGAGCTGCATCTTACTGTGTGCTTTTTAAAATGGGCCTTTGGGGCTGTGACTGTCCCATCTCCCCCACCCCCAGGACTGCAGAGATGGCAGCAGATTGGTGGCAGAATCTTTCTGCAGCGCTTTACAAGCTTTACCTGACAGTGGTTTACTCTGCTGTCTGCCCAACCTCCTGCAGGTTCCAGTTCAAAGCACCAGCTAAACCAGAGATATTTCAATAAATTGGGATGGCCTCAAATAATGGGCTCTGGCACTAGGTGTGCAGGAAACAACTGGTGCCAAGGCTGCTGCAATAAAATACAGCAGTGACTGCCCAGAGCCCTGTTAGGCAACCTCCCCGAGTCACACGTATCCTAGCTTGATCGACACTTGAGACCGAACAGAACCTAGACCTGTGCTTGTGGTGACAGTGACGTTTGACTGAAGAGTGACCTTTCTGAATCAGTTACATTAGCCACACACTGTTCCCTGGGGTCTCTCCTCTTATTACCACGTGGTCCATACCTGGCTGTGTTCAGGCCTGCCCAATGCAGGCAGTGTGTACTCCCTTCTCCAGCAGTTGAAAGCACTGGGTGCCAGAGCCCCGGCTGGGGAGTTCAATGCAGGGCACGGGACATTCTGGATCTGCACAGCCATATCCCTAGCCAAGTGCCGTCTTTGGCAATACCCCGTGGCAGTGGGTCACCCAGGGGGTTTGGCCCAGCTCAGAGGCTGCTGCATGTAAGTGAAGCCTGCTCTGAGTATAGGACTGGGAATCATGAGCTCCTCTCTGACGCGGATTGCCCCTCGGGCCATGGGCGTGCCACTTAGGGTCTGATTTTTCAGAAGCGCTGAGCACCCAGAACTCCAGGTGCAGTCTGCAAGACAAGGCAAGCCTGCCTGGGGCTTCCTCTGCACAACTTTGCATCAGTTTCCCAGTGTGGATACTCAGATGTTGCTTTGAGTGACTTGTGCTTCAGTCTAAGCCTGAATAAGCTTAATCGTCCTAGGCTGCTCTTACACTGAAATCCAAGTGTCCGCATGGACTTTGCGCCAGCTTAACTAAATTGGGGTAATGTCACACCTCTCGTTAAATCAGTAGAACTCTCTGTGTAAACAAGCCCAGTGCCTAGGTCTTCTGTAAAGGGGGATAACGGGGCCTGTTTGTACAGAGCAAAGAGGAGGGAAGAGTTTAGTGTGAATCCCATGGATGATCCCTCTGAGGTTCTCATCTACTCTCTGACAGCTGGTTTCTCTTGCTTTCTTTAGGGGGCATAACGGGGTCCGTTCCTGTATCAGCTCCCTGCACTCAGATGTAAGTCGGCCTTGCAGGGTAAAGAGCTCTATCCTGCACACATCTTAGCAGTGCATATGTAAAGCACCATCTCTCCCCAGCCCCAGAGCCCCCTATGAGCCACCCCCAAGGCCTTAGCCTCCCCTTGTGTTTGTGTTAGCAGATTTGGACCTTCATCCCCTGCTCCCAGCCCAGCCCTTCTCACACGTGAGTTGTTTCTGACTCGTCCATGAGCCAGGATGTGGAAGCAATTAGCTAAAGTGGAACCACATGGCCTGGCTGGGAGCTCAGCCCACCAACTTAACTGCGTTTGTTGGACGAAACTCTTTCCAAGCTCATGTTTGCTGGAGCCCAGCCCGAACCCAGCTACAGCAGAGGGAGACAAAGGAACAGAGCAGGACACAAGCTCAGCTTGCCATGTGGGGCTCAAGTGAGGCACTTAGGATTCCCTTTCACTCCACAGGCTCCCCCTTTGACTGGTCCCTGGCTAACCAGGGTCTCAAGGCTCCCCTGCCCTCCAGCTCCACCTCAGAGCCCCCAGTATCTGCTTTGGCTCCAGGCCGTGCCAAGCATGTTTAGCACTTTGGAGCAACTGCCATGCTGTACCGAGATCCCAGCTCGGGTGAATGCAGGCCCCAGGAACAGGTGGCGATGGGAAGAGGACACACAGCACATGCTGCATCCCCTTTTCTCCCTGCAGTGCATGGTGCGGCTCAGGGTTGGCATCGGCCGGCCAGTGGGGGAAGCCATGGTGGATCACTACGTGCTGGGCCGGTTCGCCAGCGCTGAGCACGAGGTCCTGCAGCGCGTCCTGGAGCAGGCGGCCGACCTGCTGCTGGAACACATCCTGCAGAGGAGCAGTGGCAAGGACCACACGCCCCCTGGCAACAAGGGGGACAGGACCCCTCATTAACCCTTTGAGCTGGGGGAGTTTTTATGAATATGGTGCCGACGGAAAGCAGTGGTCCTGGACTCCTTCATGGGCCTCTGGGCACAGCTGCCAGGGTGGGCTGGGGGAGCTAAGCAAAGAGCACTGACCCCACAAGTTGTGCTGTGTGGGGGTAGGTGCCAAGGGAAGCTCCTGGCAATGAAACTGGTAGGGGAGGTGGCGGACTGCCAGGCAGGTGCTATTCCTGCACCCCCCATGTCAGGTGACAGGCTTCTCCTCCCAACTCCATTAGCGCTGGCAAAGGCAGCCCGGTAGATGGCCTGGCTCCGCATGGCCAAGTGCCCATGCCTGGCACTTCAGCACCCTGCAATGTGGGGAGTAAGGAGGACCCCAAGAGAGACTCCAAGCCCCAGCCAGGCTCCACCCTAGACCCCAGCTAGGCTTGTCATGTTCAGGGGCGCCTGCCTCCTTGCCCAGCGTGGGACCACTCAGTCCCAGCAGCACCTTGTCCCTGCCCCTGCAGAACAGGTCTGGGACTTGGTGGTTGTGCCCAGTCTCAGCTTTGCCTTGTTTGTCCTTGGTTCCCAGCCAGACATCTCAGTAACTCCAGACGTTTTATAGGGCAGTTCTGCATAGACTGTACAATAAACCCAGACACCCAGTCTGCACACACTTTGCCATCTATGCTCAGTCCCTCTCCTTTGTGCAGGTGTCCTGGTGGCAGGGGAGGGAGCAATCGGCTGGCAGAAAGGGGTGCTCACTCACTCCCCCCCCCCACCATTTCCCTATTTGGTCAGCAGGCCCTGCAAGGAGCGTCTGGCTGCTATCTCTGGCAGGGGCAGAATCGGCTGCTGCTTCACCGGTTTCTCCTCCGACCAGGAAGTCATCCGTGGCTGTTGGGAAATTGGCAGTGATTCAAACACTGCCACACCAGTCACTACATCCCTCTATGGGGGCGGGGCAGGGCAGGCCAGGCCAATGCCAATGGTGCTTGGATAAGCTTTCCTGACCCTGTGGGTCCGTGGAGGGAACCATTAGGAGCAGGGACAAGGGGCTGGGAGTCAGTCTTGGTGCTGACCTCAATCCTCAGCCTCTCTGCTGAGCCTGCCCAGCCCTCCCTGTGTGACTCCCTTTTTAACCTCCCAGGATACCCCTGCCCTGCAGCCATCTATGCCCAGTTGGCCCAAGCCCCCCTCACCTCTGCGGCAGTGGTGTAGGTGCGGACGGTCCCGATGCGGGTGGTCTTGGACAGCAGACCCATCTTGCTCATGCTGTGGAAGAGCGGCACCCCCTGCCCCTGGTGAGCCAGCAAGTGGTGCGAGATGACGGGAGAGATCTTGAGGCACGGGGCTGGGTGCAGCTGGCTGGAGCAGAGGAGAAAGGGGATGGGTTAGACCACGTGACATGGGGGAGGCAGGGGTCACTGAAGGCAGAGACTAGAACGGCATTGGCAGGAAGATACTGCAGGCTCTTCAAGGTGGGAAGTACAGTAAGGGCAGGGTGCCTCTTAGGGTGAGCCTCCCCAGCTCAGGCTTAGCCAGGACAGGCTCTGGAGGCAACTGTGAACAGCAGTCACTGGAGAGGATCAGCCAGCTTTGGAGGTGCGGGGGAGCAAGCAGACAATCAGAGACCAGAGTGGAGAACTGCACGCTCAAGGGATCAGCAAGGGGAGCAAGATGGAGCCAGTGCAGGTCGGTGTGGGTGGGAGGTCGCTGCCGTCAGCTTGCTGGTGGGAGGCCTGTGGGGAATGAGCTAAAGGTGACCTATGAAGGTCTCATCTGCCGTGCTTCCCCTGGAGGGCTCTAGGAGAAGTCGGGGGAGATGGGAGTCGTGACATCACAGGAGCAGGGAGGCAGGGTTTTATGACAGCACAGAGTTGGAAGGCAGAAACGCAACCACATGTCACACAGGGCTATAGAGATAATAGGTACAACCCCATTTCTCTCCCCTTTGCCCCTGGGTGTCTGGCCTGGCCTCCAACTGGGACCTGCCTCTCTTGGGTGCAAAGAGATGCTGGGGCAGGGGCTGTATGGGGAGTGGGGCTATTCCCTGCATTTCCTACTCACCTCTCTGCTGTGGACTCCAGTCCATGTTCCCTGTTGGCCATTTTCTGGGGCCCAAAGACCTGCTCCTGAGGCGCGGGCCCAGCCGTGCTCGCCCGCCTCAGCAGCCCCAGCAGGCTCCGCAGCATCTCCTGGTGACGCAGCTGGAACGTTATGTCGAAGTCGCCATCCTCCTCATCAGACGGCCTGTCCTGCAGGGCGATGAGGCGGGGGAGGTGAACCGAGGGGAGAGGAGCCGGCACTGCAGCTCCTGCTCTCCCCCCTCCCCCCATGACTTCAAAGCACAGGGGTTGGACCCCCACTGTAGGCAGAGGAAGCCCCACAGCTCAGTCTCCACTACCATCGCCCTGGTCCTGCATTCTGAGGGCACCCAGAACCCGGCAGCTCCCCTAGGCGAGGGAGGTGTCCATCTAACAAAGGCTCAGGCCCCACGGCCGTTCAGAACTGCTGGGACAGCCAGTCGGGAGCTGGAGCTGCTGGGGGTTGGGCTGCTTGTAGTTCGAAGCCAGACTTTAGTGGGGTTCCCTGGAACAGCACCCCAGCATCTCTTGGCTCTTCCCCACTGACTCCACCTCCCCACAGCTGGAGGCTTCCCGTCCCCAGCACAGGACATGTCGTCGGATCCTCACTGAGATGCAGCCAGGGGTTCAGTAAGAGACTCCGCACTTGGCGTGATGGGAGGATTTCTAGTACCACATGCAATAAACACCATGTATGTGCTGGATTAGGGCGTCTGCCCCTGCAGCCTGCAACCTCCCCCATGACTACCCTCCAACAACTGGACTCTACCGTCTAGCACCCCCTATAGGGGACAAGGGAAATTACAGTGAGTCAAGCCAATGTAGCCCTGACACATTCTGGTTTGGTGCAAAATAAAGAGCCGGAAACAGCTGCCACAGAAGATATAGTGCCAAGGTCCAAGGTGGGTGTTTGTACAGAGCAAGATGCTGGTGGCTCTGATCTGAAAGAGTCCAGGGCTCTGGGTGTGGCCAGGGCAGACCCCTTACAAGGCACGGCACATGTGCCAGGACATCTCAGCACAGTGTTTGCTTGGAGGTACACCACCAACATGAGGCCATTGTGCCCTCCCAGACTATCACAGCATCCACCTTAAGTGACACAGCATCCCCGGGATTGGATGCAAAATCCATTCCTATCAATTTCAAATCTTCCCTAATTGACACAACATCCTCATTGCCTGATGCAAAATCAGTTCCGGGTAAGTCAACACAGCACTATGATGTGAAACCCCAGATAGCGCAGGACTCTGGCATTGTCCCAGGAGCCAGCCTCTCAAGATAGGGACAGAGCCAAGGACAAGGGCAGTAGATGGTCCAGTGGTTAGGGGGCCAGCCTAGGTCTCCAGAGGCCTGGGTTCAATTCCCAGCTCCACCGTGTTGTGGGGGGATACTACCCAGATCCTACTAATGGGGGCCATACATAAGTACCCAAGATAAATGGATACAGCTCAAGAGCTCTCAGTCAGGGGCCTCTAACTCTTAGCAGGATTTTGGGCAACCTCTTTTATGTTACAAGAGCTCATGAGTTTCCCAACAGTTTGCTGCCCCACAGCCTGCACCTGTGTTACCCTGTTCTTAATGGAACCGCTTTGCTCTCCACAGCCTCTCCTTGGAAAGAGCTCAGAGATCCTCTACACACTAACAGACCAAGCCTCACAGCTGCCCATGGGGTAGGTCAGAATAATCATCTCCATTTCACACATGGGGAAACTGAGGCACGGTGCAGCGATGTGCCTTGCACAGTGTCCCACAGCAACATTGTGGTAGAGGTGGGAATAGAATCCAGGAGTTTTGGTTCCCAGGCTCCTGCAGACAATATTGCTCCCTTTCTAGTTCTCAAGTCTTTCCTAACCTTTGACCTCTGTGATCCTGGTGGTGGCTTATGTCCACTGATGCGTCTGTTCTGTTCTAGCTTTTGGGAGCAAACCAAGGAAATGTCGCCATCTCAGAAACATGCTGGGCTCTGGCCTGTTTAATGTCAAGCAGCCACCAGAACACGTCCACCCCAATCCCCGAAACCGTGTGAGTCTCACCTGCAGCAGGTCCTTAAGGGCTTGGACAGCCTGGTTCAGGATCCTCTCTGCATTCCTCCTGAGCTTCTGCTCTTCCTTTAGGAGCTTGGCCTGACTCTGCCCTTCGTCCATCTTCCTCCTCACCTCCTCCTTCAGCTCCTTCAGCTCTTGTCTGCAGGGAGGGAGCCAGACAAGAACAGCCAGGGGTGAGGTAGCAAACAGCCACTTCACCTCAGGGTGCTTGGAGTGCAGGGAAGTGTGCATCATCTCCAGCAGGCCCCAGACAACTGTGTGTGTGTTCGCATGCACTTGTCTAAATCAGGTTCCCCAGGGAGGTCTGTCTGTCTGTTCATCCAAGTCAGGTCCCCAGGCATATATGTGTCATTTGTCTGTCTGTCCAAGTCAGGTCCACAGGGAGATGTGTGCATGTGTCTGTCTAGTCATCCAAGCCAAGATCCCAGGGAGAAGTATGTATATGTCTCTGTCCGCCTGCCCGCCTGTCTAAGTCAGCCGACCAGGGAGATATGTGAGCACAGGAGGTGGGTCTAAATCTGGTCTCCATGGAGATGTGTGTCTAAGTCAGGTCCGCAGGGGGGCTGAGGTGGGCTAAGCCCCCTCTGCACATCTGTGGAAGTGAGGTCTCCTAGAGAGATTACTTTCCAAGAGTTACACCCACGGAAGGTGCCTGGGAACACCAGCCTCCCCTTCCCCATGGTAACGCCCACCCCATGTGGGGTTCCTGAATGTCCAGGACAAGCACCAGGCTGCAGCTGGCTGAGCAGAGTGGCCCTTGTTGGGCAGGGTGCGCTCAAGAGACCAGGCACTGACAGAGCATCAGTCAACATGGCTCCGGGTCAGGCCTTTGGGGAACCGGTATGTAGCACCAGGCGCAGCAGCTCTCGTGGGGGGCCGTGACAGAGCCTTGCTGAGTCTGTCAGAGGGTTGAGCAGGTTGAGGTGACACAGACACAGTCAGGGGAAGCATAATCCAATAATACTCGGTCCTTTCCTAGTCCCTCCCATCCAAAGAGCTCCAAGCGCTGTTAGACACTGCTTAGTGAAATGTCACAAGGGCCCTGTGAAGCCAGTGAATGGCTACACAGGGACCACTTCCCTCAGCTCTTAAATGCAGCCACCTCTAGGGTGGAAAGTGGCAATTATTTAAAAACACTGCACAACACTGCATGGCAGTTTAAGTCAAGAAGTGAAGACTCCCAGGTCAATCGCAGAGGGCATTGAGCCAGGACACCTGGGTTAACACCGCAACTCTTTCAAGTTCCCACTCTGTGGGGTTAATGGGCACAAGGGGTCAGGACTAGACCTGGTCAAAACATTTCCCACAGCACAATTCTCCATGGAAAAAAGCACTTTCGTCAAAATCAAAATGTGTCGATTTCAACATTTTCAATGGGAAAAAGTCCAGATGAATCCCATTGACTTTCCTATTGCATTTTGAAAAAGCAAAACGTTTCCTTTTGGCTTCCTCATTTTGATTCATTTCATTTAGACATACTAAAACGTTAACTATCTACTCAATTCTATACTGTGTTAAATGCCTAATACTAAACACTAATATTTTAACATAATATTAAAGTTTAAATTCAGTGAATCAAAATGAGAAAGTCAAAACTGAAATGTTTGACCTTATTGAAGCAAAATGATTCTACATTATCAGAATGAAATATGTTCACAGCGCCAAGTAGACACCGATTGGAATTTTTGCTTTGTTACAAATTTCAAATTTTTTTTTCAGAACAAAAAGGGGTTTTGAAATGTTGGATTTTCCGGTGGAACTGAACTTCCAGCCCCCGCCCGCTGGAGTCCGGCTCTGCATTGTGCGTCTCATGGAAGAGTTAGCAGTACAGCACCACACTGAGCTTGCCGTTCCAGAGGCAGTGCGCCATTTTCTGAACCACTGACCCCAGTTCCTGTAATACCTGGGTTTTCCTTGAAGGTCTCCCATTCAACCTGGCCTGGCCACAATTAGCCTGGGAAATGTGATGGGATCACAGCACAAGGACTCTCCTTTGCCTCTACATGGCCTTGCAACAAGACCCGGCTGCAGCACGGGAATGAGATCTGCCGCTGGACCACAACGGCTTGCTGTCGCCTCCACTCTGCTCTACGTACCTTAGTGCCTGGTTCTCCTTCTGCAGCATCTCATGGGCTGCCTTCAGCTGCTGCATGGCCTCCTTCTGCTGCCTGTACTCATCCACCAGCACCTGCTGCTCCTTGCATTTATTGGTGAGCATCCAAATCATCTGAAATGAGCAGCAGGGACACAGCTTCGGGATCAGGAGACAAGAGGGACGTCTCAGGCACCAGCCTCAGCCCAGGCTCCCTATCCCCCTCACTGCCGCCCACACTCAGGCTGCAAGTTGCCCATGCCCACTGTCAGGTCCCTACTGCCAAGATGATGAGCCACATGCACTTACATGGGGTCTGAGCAAACTCTAGGGCAATAGTGCTGTCAGGGAATGGGGAGACCAGGCCCCTGAAAGCCACCACATGGTCCCTAGGGGCAGACAAGCTGGAGCAGTAACAGGACCAGAGCCTGGCTTCAGCACCCCACATCCCTCTGTGCATTGGTTGAGCTCTGACCTTCTGGTTGCTGAGGCTTTTCTTGGTCATCTGCTTCTCATTGTGCTCCAGCATCCCCAGCTGCTTCTGCATCTCAGCCTGGGCCTCCTTCAGCATGTCATTCTCCTGGATGAGGTCATAGCTGCGATCAGACATCTTGGCCAGCTGGACGTTGATGGCGACATTCTCGCGGATGGTGCGCTTGGTGGTCTCGGCCATCTGGCTGTTGGAGACCTTGCGGAACTCGGCTGCCACCACATTAACACGCTGCATCATCTCCTTCTTCAGCCTGTAGGAGTGGGGCGTGTGCGTACGCACACAGGACACACAGAGAAGGTCATCACTCCTGGGGCAGGGCCCACTGCAGCTGCAAACGCCTTAGCCCCGGCAAATCGGACCCCAGTCCAAAGGATTAGCTCCTGTCCAAGGTCCCACAGCAAGTCAGTGGCAAAGCCAGGAAGTGAAACCAAGGCTTCCAAGTCCCACACTTGGCACTAACCATGAGACCACACTCCCACCTTCAGACTCCAGTGGGGAATGACACACAGTCAGTCTCTGTCTGGCACTGACCTGTCTTTGTCCAGCACAGCTTTCCTCTCCAGGTTATAGATATACTCCTTGTGATTTTCCTCTTGTTTCTTCAGCTGCTCCTCTAGGGCTGCAAACTTGCCCATGAGATCCTCCTTCTGGATCCTGAACTCCTCCAGCGCAGCCAGCTTCCCACCTGCCAAAACAGATCACTTAGGACCCCAGAAGGACCATTGGGGGCTTCCATGCTTAGCCATGGGGGGTCGGGAGGAGGGCAAAGTGCTTCGCCAAGCTGGCAAACCCCACTGTGAGATTCTCCCCAACTGCTCTTCACACCACATACCTGTTCTGCATCTTCTTAACCACCCTGATCACAAACTCTATGGGGCCAAGACTGTTTCTTTAGTACATTTGTACAGCACCTAGCACAATGGTGCTGCTGTAATATCAATAATACAGGGCCAGCATATGGGGAAAGCTTGCCCTGAGGCTGCCCAGGCTGTACCTGCTATGGGGACCAGCAATAGACAGCAGCCTCCAGCACTAGAAAGGAGCCTTCCACAACCCACATTGTGGTGGAAAGAGAGGGAGGCTCAAATGTGTACACATAGTTACCAGATAGCAACTGTGAAAAAACGGGATGGGGGTGGGGGGTAATAGGTGCCTATATAAGAAAAAGTCCCAAAAACCAGAACTGTCCCTTTAAAAACGGGACATCTGGTCACCCTATGTATACACCACCTCTGTCTCCACACCCCCATGTGTCCTCCCCCACACGCAGCTGGAATTAGGGCTGGTCAGAAATTTTCTACTGAAACTCTTCTGCGGAAAATCAGGTATTTGACTAAATGAAAATTTAAGATTTTTCATCAGAAAACTCAAAAACCTTCTGCCAAAGGCCCAACACTGTTTTGGTTTTCAGCAGCTTTGGGCCAAAAAACCATTTTGCAAACCCTTTTTATTATTACTAGAAGTGTAATAATAGAGCGTTCTGTTGAAAACAAAAAAAACTTTTCATCAAAAAAAATGTCTGGGGGTGGAGGTACAAATTCCCACCCACTCCAGCCAGAATATTTCCACTGACCGTTCTCCCACCAGCCTGTGGCCACAGCCCCAGGCAGGAACTGTTCAACCCTCAGAATTCCAGGCTCTGTCCCTGCACGGCGGCACCAGCAGCCCCCTGCCCCAGGAAAAGGGACCATGGGGCAAGGGGGAAAAGGAAGGGTCCAGTCTGAGCCAGGGCACATTACTTAGCAGCATGTTCTCCGAAGTGAGCTGGTCCTTGGTCTCCTGAAACTCGTGTCGAACCTGGGCCAGCTGGGCCTCGAAGGCGTCCTTCTCGGATTCTTTGGCCTGCTGCAGGCTGAGCAGCTGGTCATTGACTTCAGCGATCTCATCAACCCGCTGGTTCAGGGTCTTCTTGAGAAAGGCCACGATCTCTTTGTTGTCATTGGCCATCTGATCGTACTCCACCCTGAAGAGGGTCTCGTTCACCTGCAGCTCGTCCCATTTCCGCTGGTACCTGCCAGGGGGAAGCAGCGCCGAACAGACAGTCAGACAGCAGTCTCCAGGATGGGCTGATTCCCTGCCCCTCACCTATTTATAAGTTGGTCCAGTCTCTCCCATTGCCTGGGCACAGGCCCAGGGCATGCACGGGAGCACAGCTCACAGCTGATTGCAGTGGGACTGGAGAGGGGGACTATTCATGGCTATGGCCCTACCAAATTCACGGTCCATTTTGGTCACTTTCATGGTCACAGGATTTTAAAAATCAGAAATTTCATGTTTTCAGGTATTTAAATCTGAAATTTCACAGTGTTGTAATTGTAGGGGTCCTGACCCAAAAAGGAGTTGTGGGGGGGGTCACAAGGTGATTGTAGGGGGGGTTGCGGTACTGCTACCCTTACTTCTGCGCTGCTCCTGGTGGCGGCCCTGCCTTCAGAGCTGGGCAGCTGGAGAGCGGTGGCTGCTGGCTGGGAGCCCAGCTGTGAACGCAGAGCCGCCGCCAGCAGCAGCGCAGATGTAAGCCTGGCCTGGTCTGGTGTTGCCACCCTTCCTTCTGCGCTGCTGCCTGCAGAGCTGGGCCCTCTGTCAGCAGCCGCCGCTCTCCAGCTGCCCAGCTCCGAAGGCAGCAGCGCAGAAGGAAGGGTGGCCTGGTCTGGTATCGCCACCCTTCCTTCTATGCTGCTGCTGGCAGGGCACTGCCTTCAGCGCTGGGTGGCTGGCCAACAGTCACCACTATCCAGCCACCCAGATCTGAACGCAGTGCAGACGTAAGGGTGGCAATACTGTGACACCCCCCCCCCCAAATAACCTTGTGACCACCCTGCAACTCCCTTTTGGATCAGGACCCCCAATTTGAGAAACGCTGGTCTCCCCTGTGAAATCTGTATAGTATAGTGTAAAAGCACAAAAAGACCAGATTTCATGCGGGGGAGACCATATTCCACGGTCCGAGATGCATTTTTCATGGTCATGAATTTGGTAGGGCCCTACTCATGGTCCATTCCCCTGCACTCCCATCCAGCAGCTGGGGACCCCCCAGCCCTGTCCCAGGATGGGAAGGAGATGAGAGGTGGACACCAGAATGGAAGTGGACAGATCTCTCTGCCCAGCCCTGCCATTCTAATTCCAACACAGGTGGCCAAAGTGAGTCCTGCTGCAACCAGGTAAGGTGTCTTGATTTCTGTGGGAGCTGCACCTGCTTACACAAGGACTGAATTTGGCCCATGGGCTCAATCCAAAGTGTCTGGGAGCAGAAGAAAGAGAAGCTGCACCTTTGACCCAGGGCTTCACCTCACCCTCACTATAACTGGCTTCTGCAGCATCAGTGGTAAAGGGCTATCATGAACCTCGATAGCAATCATCGTAAAACCTACACTCCTGAAACACCTGGCCCCAGAGCATGTTGCAAGCCGTATTTACAAGAATCGTTTCACCCCGCATGGAAACGCGGCCATCTCCAGGGAGGGGCACGGGCAGCTCCGTATACAGGCCCCTTCACCCCGCACTGAAACGCGGCCGTCTCTGGGGAGGGACAGGAGCAGCTCCGTATACGGGCACCCTTCACCCCGCACGGAAACGCGGCCGTCTCTGAGGAGGAGGGACACGGGCAGCCCCGTATACGGGCACCCTTCACCCCGCACGGAAATGCGGCCGTCTCCGGGGAGGGACAGGGGCAGCTCCGTATACGGGCACCCTCCACCCCGCATGGAAACGCGGCCGTCTCCGGGGAGGGACAGGGGCATCTCCGTATACGGGCACCCTTCACCCCGCACTGAAACGCGGCCGTCTCCGGGGAGGGACAGGGGCAGCTCCGTATACGGGCACCCTTCACCCCGCACGGAAACGCGGCCGTCTCTGAGGAGGAGGGACACGGGCAGCCCCGTATACGGGCACCCTTCACCCCGCACGGAAACGCGGCCGTCTCCGGGGAGGGACAGGGGCAGCTCCGTATACGGGCACCCTCCACCCTGCACGGAAACGCGGCCGTCTCCGGGGAGGGACAGGGGCAGCTCCGTATACGGGCACCCTCCACCCCGCACGGAAACGCGGCCGTCTCCGGGGGAGGGACAGGGGCAGCTCCGTATACGGGCACCCTTCACCCCGCACGGAAACGCGGCCGTCTCCGGGGAGGGACAGGGGCAGCTCCGTATACGGGCACCCTCCACCCCGCACGGAAACGCGGCCGTCTCCGGGGGGGACAGGGGAGCTCCCCACCCCGCACGGAAACGCGCGCCCGGGGAGGGCGCCGCTAACGGGCACCCTCCACCCCGCACGGAAACGCGGCCGTCTCCGGGGAGGGACACGGGCAGCTCCGTATACGGGCACCCTCCACCCCGCACGGAAACGCGGCCGTCTCCGGGGAGGGACAGGGGCAGCTCCGTATACGGGCACCCTCCACCCCGCACGGAAACGCGGCCGTCTCCGGGGAGGGACAGGGGCAGCTCCGTATACGGGCACCCTTCACCCCGCACGGAAACGCGGCCGTCTCCGGGGAGGGACAGGGGCAGCTCCGTATACGGGCACCCTTCACCCCGCACGGAAACGCGGCCGTCTCCGGGGAGGGACACGGGCAGCTCCGTATACGGGCACCCTCCACCCCGCACGGAAACGCGGCCGTCTCCAGGGAGGGACAGGGGCAGCTCCGTATACGGGCACCCTTCACCCCGCACGGAAACGCGGCCGTCTCCGGGGAGGGACACGGGCAGCTCCGACCCCCCCCCCCGAAACGCGGCGTCTGGGAGGGACAGGGGCACCCTCCACCCCGCACGGAAACGCGGCCGTCTCCGGGGAGGGACAGGGGCAGCTCCGTATACGGGCACCCTTCACCCCGCACGGAAACGCGGCCGTCTCCGGGGAGGGACAGGGGCAGCTCCGTATATGGGCACCCTCCACCCCGCACGGAAACGCGGCCGTCTCCGGGGAGGGCCACGGGCAGCTGTTCAACCCCAACAGAGCTGGGCTTTGCGGGGGCTGCCGACCGGGCCCCCCCCGGTGTATGCGGCGAGGAACAGGGGCCCCGCCCTGAAAGGGCACCGACGGTCACTTGAGGAGGCTGCGAGGAGGGGCTGCCGGCCGGGGGGCCGCCCCGCGGGCAGCGGCATTTGGCCCCGCCGGTGGGCGCAGACCCCGGGGCGGGGATCCCGCAGCTCGCCCGGGCCCGGCTCCCCACGTGAGCCCCCCTGGAGCCCAGCCCAGCCCCCCGCGGGAGGGGACCCCGCACCGGGCCAGCCGCTCCTCCAGGTCCCGGATCTGGAGCAGGTAGAAGTCCCGGCTGTGCTCGGCCAGGGGCTGCTCCGCCTTCCCCTCCGGCCGCGGCTCCTTGCCCGCGTCTTCCTTCTTGCCGCCGCCCTTCTTCTTGGGGGCCATGGCCGCGGCGGGCAGCGGGGGGAGCCCGGCGGCCGCTGGAAGAGCCTCGCGGGACCCCGCGTCCCCGGGGCAACGCGCTGTACATAGCAACGGGGGCGCGGGGCTTAAAGGGCCAGGCGCCCGCGAGGGAGGGGGGGGGACAGCCTCTAGCCCCCCCGCGGGACCCCGCAGGGCCGCCTGCCTGGGGATCCCTGGGCTGTGCCCTTCGCCCAGCGGGGTCCCCTGGGCTGGGGCACCCCCAAACTGGGGATTCCTGGCCTGGGCCCTCCATCCAGCGGGGTCCCCTGGGCTGGGCCACCCCCAAACTGGGGATTCCTGGGCTGGGCCCCCCCCAAACTGGGGACCCCTGGTCTGCGCTCCCAGACTTTGCTGCCCTCCATTCCCCCCCCAAGGGCGCTCCCTGTACTGTGCACCCTCTGACCCTCCTTAAAAATCAAAGAGCTCTTAAAGTGCCCCCTGTGGGTTGCTCCCTGGATCCCCCAGTCTCTGACATTCCCCCCTCCAACATCTTCCCCCCTGGTGAAACCCCTTTAACATGGGAATGAGCATGCAAAAGCCCCCCACCGCCATCATGAATGTTAGCCTTTGCGCTAGATTAGAATAGTGCGGAGCTGCAGTGAAGACACCGTCCCCTGCTCAGCTTGGTTTAAAGCAGCAGCAGCTGGGACTTTGGTTATACACGCCAAGGGAAATACCACTGCTATGGATGTAAAAAGGTGGGACAGAGGAAGGCTGGTGCAGTGGTTAAGGCTCCAGTCAAAGTCTTAGATGATGTGGGTTTAAATCCCTGCTCTGCCACACGTTCCCCATGTGACCATGGGCAAGGCACTTAGTGTCTCTTGGCCTCAGTTCCCTCCCTGCAATTGAGGGATAATAGCCCTGCCCTACTTCACAGGGGGCACATGAAGATAAATACATTAAAAGGACTAGGAGGTGCTCAGATGTTCCAGCTTCATATAAATAGCTAAGATAGACAGGGGCTGCTTAGAGAAGTCACACAGGCATAGATGCCTTGGGATATAGCCAAGGATTTGTTCCCTATACAAAATCTAGCATGATTTGGCCACTAAAGTATCATAGAATCATAGAATATCAGGGTTGGAAGGGACCTCAGGAGGTCATCTAATCCAACCCCCTGCTCAAAGCAGGACTGATCCCCAATTAAATCATCCCAGCCAGGGCTTTGTCAAGCCTGACCTTAAAAACTTCTAAGGAAGGAGATTCCACCACCTCCCTAGGTAACACATTCCAGTGTTTCATCACCCTCTTAGTGAAAAAGTTTTTCCTAATATCCAACCTAAACCTCCCCCACTGCAACTGGAGACCATTACTCCTTGTTCTGTCATCAGCTACCACTGAGAACAGTCTAGGTCCATCCTCTTTGGAACCCCCTTTCAGGTAGTTGAAAGCAGCTATCAAATCCCCCCTCATTCTTCTCTTCCGCAGACTAAACATCCCCAGTTCCCTCAGCCTCTCCTCATAAGTCATGTGTTCCAGTCCCCTAATCATTTTTGTTGCCTCCACTGGGCTCTTTCCAATTTTTCCACATCCTTCTTGTAGTATGGGGCCCAAAACTGGACACAGTACTCCAAATGAGGCCTCACCAGTGTCGAATAGAGGGGAACGATCACATCCCTCGATCTGCTGGCAATGCCCCTACTTATACATCCCAAATGCCATTGGCCTTCTTGGCAACAAGGGCACACTGTTGACTCATATCCACCTTCTCGTCCACTGTAACCCCTAGGTCCTTTTCTGCAGAACTGCTGCCGAGCCATTCAGTCCCTAGTCTGTAGCGATGCATTGGATTCTTCCATCCTACGTGCAGGACTCTGCACTTGTCCTTGTTGAACCTCATCAGATTTCTTTTGGCCCAATCCTCCAATTTGTCTAGGTCCCTCTGTATCCTATCCCTACCCTCCAGCGTATCTACCTCTCCTCCCAGTTTAGTGTCATCTGCAAACTTGCTGAGGGTGCAATCCACACCATCCTCCAGATCATTTATGAAGATATTGAACAAAACTGGCCCCAGGACCGACCCTTGGGGCACTCCACTTGATACCGGATGCCAACTAGACATGGAGCCATTGATCACTACCCGTTGAGCCCGACAATCTAGCCAACTTTCTATCCACCTTATAGTCCGTTCATCCAGCCCATACTTCTTTAACTTGCTGGCAAGAATACTGTGGGAGACCATGTCAAAAGCTTTGCTAAAGTCAAGGAACAACACATCCACTGCTTTCCCTTCATCCACAGAGCCAGTTATCTCGTCATAGAAGGCAAGTAGATTAGTCAAGCCTGACTTGCCCTTGGTGAATCCATGCTGACTGTTCCTGATCACTTTCCTCTCCTCTAAGTGCTTCAGAATGGATTCCTTGAGGACCTGCTCCACGATTTTTCCAGGGACTGAGGTGAGGCTGACTGGCCTGTAGTTCCCAGGATCCTCCTTCTTCCCTTTTTTAAAGATGGGCACGACATTAGCCTTTTTCCAGTCGTCCGGGACTTCCCCCGATCGCCCATGAGTTTTCAAAGATAATGGCCATGGCTCTGCAATCACATCCGCCAACTCCTTTAGCACTCTCGGATGCAACGCATCCAGCCCCATGGACTTGTGCACGTCCAGCTTTTCTAAATAGTCCTGAACCGCTTCTTTCTCCACAGAGGGCTGGTCACCTCCTCCCCATGCTGTGCTGCCCAGTGCAGTAGTCTGGGAGCTGACCTTGTTCGTGAAGACAGAGGCAAAAAAAGCATTGCGTACATTAGCTTTTTCCACATCCTCTGTCACTAGGTTGCCTCCCTCGTTCAGTAAGGGGCCCACACTTTCCTTGACTTTCTTCTTGTTGCTAACATACCTGAAGAAACCCTTCTTGTTACTCTTAACATCTCTTGCTAGCTGCAACTCCAGGTGTAATTTGGCCTTCCTGATTTCACTCCTGCATGCCCGAGCAATATTTTTATACTCATCCCTGGCATTTGTCCAATCTTCCACTTCTTGTAAGCTTCTTTTTTGTGTTTAAGATCAGCAAAGATTTCACTGTTAAGCCAAGCTGGTCGCCTGCCATATTTATTATTCTTTCTACACATCGGGATGGTTTGTCCCTGTAACCTCAATAAGGATTCTTTAAAATACAGCCAGCTCTCCTGGACTCCTTTCCCCCTCATGTTGTTCTCCCAGGGGATCTTGCCCATCAATTCCCTGAGAGAGTCAAAGTCTGCTTTTCTGAAGTCCAGGGTCTGTATTCTGCTGCTTTCCTTTCTTCCTTGTGTCAGGATCCTGAACTCGACCATCTCATGGTCACTGCCTCCCAGGTTCCCATCCACTTTTCTTCCCCTACTAATTCTTCCTGGTTTATGAGAAGCAGGTCAAGAAGAGCTCTTCCCCTAGTTGGTTCCTCCAGCACTTGCACCAGGAAATTGTCCCCTACCCTTTCCAAAAACTTCCTGGATCGTCTGTGCACCGCTGTATTGCTCTCCCAGCAGATATCAGGGTGATTGAAGTCTCCCATGAGAACCAGGGCATGTGATCTAGTAACTTCTGCGAGTTGCCGGAAGAAAGCCTCGGCCACCTCATCGCCCTGGTCCAGTGGTCTATAGTAGACTCCCACCACGACATCACCCTTGTTGCTCACACTTCTAAACTTAATCCAGAGACTCTCAGGTTTTTCTGCAGTTTCATACTTGGGCTCTGAGCAGTCAAACTGCTTTCTTACATACAGTGCTACTCCCCCACCTTTTCTGCCCTGCCTGTCCTTCCTGAACAGCTTATATCCATCCATGACAGTACTCCAGTCATGTGAGTTATCCCACCAAGTCTCTGTTATTCCAATCACATCATAATTCCTTGACTTTGCCAGGACTTCCAGTTCTCCTTGCTTGTTTCCCAGGCTTCGTGCATTTGTGTATAGGCACTTGAGATAACCCGCTGATCGCCCCTCTTTCTCAGGATGAGGCAGGAGCCCTCCCCTCTCATGTGCTCCTGTTCATGCTTCCTCCCGGTATCCCACTTCCCACTTACCTCAGGGCTTTGGTCTCCTTCCCCCAGTGAACCTAGTTTAAAGCCCTCCTCACTAGGTTAGCCAGCCTGCTTGCGAAGATGCTCTTCCCTCTCTTCGTTAGGTGAAGCCCATCTCTGCCTAGCACTCCTCCTTCTTGGAACACCATCCCATGGTCAAAGAATCCAAAGCCTTCTCTCTGACACCACCTGCGTAGCCATTCGTTGACGTCCATGATTCGATGGTCTCTACCCAGGCCTTTTCCTTCCACGGGGAGGATGGACGACAACACCACTTGCACCTCAAACTCTTTCATCCTTCTTCCCAGAGCAACGTAGTCTGCAGTGATCCGCTCAAGGTCATTCTTGGCAGTATCATTGGTGCCCACATGGAGATGCAGGAAAGGGTAGCGATCCGAGGGCTTGATGAGTCTCTCTCGGCAGTCTCTCCATCACATCACAAATCTTAGCTCCTGGCAAGCAGCAGACTTCTCGGTTTTCCCAGTGAGGGCGGCAGATAGATGACTCAGTCCCCCTGAGGAGAGAGTCCCCGACCACCACCACCCACCTCCTTCTCTTGGGAGCGGTGGTCATGGAACCCCCAACCCTAGGAGAGTGCATCTCATGCCTTCCAATCGGCGGAGTCTCGTTCTGCTCCCTTCCTTCAGACGTATCATCTGGTCCACTCTCTGCATTAGTACCTGTGGAGAGAACATGAAAACGGTTACTTACCTGTATCTGCGTTGCTGGTACATGGACGTTCCCCTTTTTTCTTCTGGAGGTCACATGATGCCAAATTTCTTCACCATCCTCCTGTCCCCGGTGTGCAGCCTGCTCTGAATCTTCAGAACCTTGTGCCCTTGTGTATGGAACTGGGCAGCAGGACACCAAGTCTGCCAGTGGCTCAGGGGCACCTGGGCTATGCCTTGATCTTCCCATCTGTGAGATGGGTACAGTGATACTAATTCACCTTCGTAAAGGACTTTGACACCTACAATTAAACGCATCTGAGTTGATACAAGCAGAGTGACAGTTCTAGGCATGGTGCATTTGGTCCATAACTTCTTGTGCCCTTACTGAAGGCCACATGGAGACCAGTTAGGTTGCACCCTGTGATTGCTCTGGGCCCTGGCACAGTCCAAAGTGAGTAAGAACAAATAGTTTTGCATCACTGAACAAGAAACTTTATGGGCCATTTGATGTAACCCAAAGGCCTGGCATTAAATTCTTCTCTTGTTTTCTGGGCAACAAAGCGGGTGCTAGTCAAATGTGGCAGGGTCAGCAGGTGGTAGATTAAAGTGACTAGAGGAACTCTAGTGCCAAGTATATAATGAGAGTGGAGGGGTAGGAATATCACTTCAAAGATCTAACTGGGAAGGAAGGAGATGATTTGACAGAGACACTCCATTTGGGCAGGGGGTGCGTTTTCTTACTCCACTGACCTGCTTTGCCAGTCTACCGAGAAGGCAGGTTCTAGGCTTCTATAAACGGAGGTAAGTCTGGGCTCATTTCTAATGGCTAGAAGCAGATCTTCCCCAGTTACCGGGGGAGTGATTGGTTTCTGTACAGGAATGCTCAGGCTGCAGGGTCACTTAGAACAGCTCTTCTGAAGCCAAGAGTCTTACCCTCTGCATCTTGCACCCGGGGTCATTCACACCTGTGCAAAGCAGCTGTGAAATGTCACCTAGTTAGAAGGTTTTAGACTAGCAGCCATGTTAGTCTGTATTCGCAAAAAGAAAAGGAGTATTTGTGGCACCTTAGAGACTAACCAATTTATTTGAGCATAAGCTTTCGTGAGCTACAGCTCACTTCCGATGAAGTGAGCTGTAGCTCACGAAAGCTTATGCTCAAATAAATTTAGTCTCTAAGGTGCCACAAGTCCTCCTTTTCTAGTTAGAAGGGGAGTTTTACACCCAATCTGCTCCCATTTCAGTGACTACACAGGGGAAGGTGGGGATGAGCCAGGCCCCAGCTCTGTAACAGCATGGTCAGCATGGGGCAGGCCAGCATGGTCTCCACTCCCTGACAGTGATGCACGGAGAAGGACATTCCACACAGATCTTCACAAGCCAACGTGCACATTCCACAAGGTCTTCACAAGCCCACATGTGAGAATCCCTCCCTGTGCAGCTAAAACTAAGATTCAACCATCCGGAAGGCACAGAATAAGTTCTAGGGTACACATCACTGGGGCAGGCAGAACTCCCTCCTCCCCGGGTATCTTCAAAGCCCTTGACAGACATTAAACTAATTACCCCGGCCAGTGCTGGAGGAGGGAAGGCTCACGTCCCTCATTCAACAGCTGAGGACAGTGAGGCACAGACAAGTGCAACATATTGCACAATGTCAGCTTATAGTAGTTCCACATCTAGTGTTTATTTCTTTTTGGGTTTCTTTGTTTAAAGGGTAATTGGTCCATGAACAGTGACCATTCTAAAGATCAGCCCTTAGTGTTAAATTCTGTTGTGCAGTTCTGTACTGGTGCTTGGTGGCAGGGGGGAAACCTTTACTTCTGCTATCAAAGGGTTTCATTTTCCAGGGGGCCCAGAGCTAGTGTGGCTTGAACTAAACCCTTCATTTTCTTCTCAGATCTTTGGATGGTGACACCATTCTGCCGCTTTCGGTGGGGAGCACAAATGGAACTACAGTTGATGTGGCATTTTGTCTCTAGGGCTTTGTTTGGGAGTTCTAGTGGTATCTTGTAAGAGGTATGTGTGGAGGGGATGTAGCAGTTAGAGAAAGGGACGTGGACAGTCCCTCTTATGTAGAATCTTTATTTCTCAACATCAGATTCATGCTTGCAGGCATTGAGGAGGACTAAGGAAGAATTTAATCTTAAACATTCCTCCTGTGCTCTGGTAAGACTTAATATTTTTCTTAGCCTAGATTTATACACATTCATGGGGAACAGTCAACATGCACCTTCATGTCTCTTCCTCCACAGAAGTGGCAAAGAAACTTCTAAGCAGCCTCTAATTCACCAAGCAATGGAAGGAGGCTTAGTGTGAAATCTCCATACTTGCCCTGTGGCAAACTGGTCACTCCAGAGTCTTTAGATTCCTTGACAGGTACTGGCCTGAACTATCCTTTCCGTAGTGGTCACTGTAGCAGTCAGATGGCATGTAAGGCCCAATCTTATTGCAGCCAGTGTTAAAATCCTCTTATAGTGAAATGTCTTTCCTTGGAGCTCCACAGAGAGGCTATATCCTGACCACACTGCAGTGGTTTGCTCATGTCCCCCTCTTTGAAGAAATGTGGTTTGTAGCACAGCTTCATTTCAAGCTTCATCACTAATGGCAACACCTGTCACATGTGTTGCATTGATAGCACCAAGGACTCCTACCCTAGTAATCAGTTGTCATTATGGATTGGAAGTGTGTGTGATCAGTGGTAATCGGACTTCTTTGGCTTCCATTCATTTATTTGTGCTGTTTGTGCTCATGTCCTGTGAGTGATCTGCCCAAGGTCACCTGGCCAGTGGCAGAGCTAGGCAGTGCCTGCCTTTCAGACACCTGTTTGAGACACAAAGCCAGGCTTCATTTTCTAGCAATAATCAGCGATGGACGCTCCAACGCACGGGGTAGATTCACAGAGCGGAAGGCAGGCAGCACCCTCCCTCCAGACACGGAGAGCCCACACCCAGGGTGCTCTTCCACTCAAATCTTGAGCTTTAGTGTTGTGTGTGCTACAGGTTTCTCACACAGTGACATCCCAGACCGTATCTCATAGATCCTGGATCCCACACTGAGTCCACCCCGCAGAGGGTGCTCCCACTGCGGCCCAGTTCACACATGGATTTGGGGCCACTATAACTAGTCAGTTAAGGGTGTGATTTTTCTATGCCAGGTACCAATATAACGGGTAAAGGTGTCCTATACTGGTGTAGCTTATTCCCCTTCCCATGTGGCATTCAGAGGTGATCTCTGGGCACTGTCAGTGCATTGCACATGGAGGAAAGGAGGCCATCTGGGCATTGCAGACTATTGTACACATGCTAGTGGCCCAGAGCAGGAGCAAACAAATGCAACACATACTCGAGAACACTAGAGGGGGCTATAGAGAACAAGAAGATAGTGACAAAATATGGGTGAGTTGTCTTAAATAGAGTCCAGTTTAATCCTCCTGATGGCTTGCTTATTTCAGTTAAACCATACTACATGGGAGGGAAAACCCAGCAGACAGCCTGGCATAATGCAGAGAGAACCCTAATCTGCAGGCAGCTGGGGGGGATTTTTGCATTACTTCTGCCCTGTACTGGATTCTCCCCCTACAGCTCTGGAAGTCTGTCTGGGGCATTTCTTAGGCACCCGTCACCTCATGTCTAGATCCCATCCCCTTTTCACCAAGACACACAGGGTGGTCATCGGCTCCAACTTTGGGTGAAGAAGAGAAAGAATTTTGATTCCATTGGATTAGAAGGATGAGCTGATCAAATAATCCAAACAAGTATTACAAAAGAATCAACACACACCCTGGGCCCTATGGCCTGGCAGATCTCAGCTGAGTGGGCTCCTGCATCCCTACAGGAATGAGCTCAGCCTGAAAATACTGAGCAAGAAACTCTCTGGAAGGTTACCGAGTCTTGTACATTTCCAAACGCTTCTGTCCTTTCAGGGAGAGGCACCACCAGAGGTGGGGAAGGAGAAGTAGTAGGTTGCAAAGGACTAGACCAAAAGCTCCACCACCTAGCAGAGGTGTCCAGATAGTCAAGCATGGTCCTTGGTGCAACCCTTGCATACAGTCTATTTCAGTGAGCGAAGATTACAGGCCCAGATTAAACACCCCCCTTTGGTCAAGCAAACACAGCTGCATCTCTCAGTCAGGAACCAGTCAAATCTGCAGGTGGGCAGAGGAGCCCACGGTGTTCCTCCTTTGTCACACTTGAGGAATGGGAAGCACCCCTGGAAAAGGAAGTGAGAGGCCAGTGTTACTGGTGCAAGCAGGGGTTGGTTGCTGTGCCACTGTGGGGAGCTAGGCTCCCTGTGCGGATGTGATACCAGCCTGCAAAACTAAACTGTTTGCTGCCCCAAATGCCCCCCTCCTGGGCACTGAGTTTCCCTGTGTCCCACTGGAAGATTGTCCCACTATTGTTTGCAAGAGGGCCTGGCTGTATTGCTGTGCATCTCAGTGGAGACAGCCAACAAAAGGGACAAGGTGCGAATGGGCCATGCAGACCGCCAGGTTCTACTCTGCCCCCAAAAAGGGTCCCTCGTGGTCGGGACTGAGGTTCAGTGGTGGGGATCTGCATCAGGGAAGTTTGCCCTGTTGTTACGCCTGCAGCATGTGGTCTGAGGATGGAGAGGAGACTTCAGTGTGCGGGGCTGGATCCAGCTCAGAATCCCCAACACACACTCACCGTCTTCAGCCAGCTTAAACCAACATGAGAACCAGAGAGCAAAGGAGGAAAGTTGCCCACTCTTTGGGACCCAACCCTCCCCAGATGTAGCAGCCCAACGCAGCACATTCAGGCTGGAGTCTCAGCAGTTACTCTGAAGTTCCTGCTCTGTTTGGCTGATTTAAGGTTCAGCCAGGGTCACCTAACAAGTCAGTGTGAAAAATAATCTCTTCCATTTCTGTGGCGCCTGCCAGCCCCAACTCTGTGCAGCCACCTCTGGGGAGGAGGGTGCCAGTTGGCTCAGAGCAGAGCAGGGGGAGAAGAGGATACATGCTGGCACGCTAAATCCCAGACCGTCCGCCTGACCCACCAAGGGCTTACCACGGAAATAAGGCACAGTTATTTTTGTTTTCAAACCTTGCCCAGTTCATTTGCTCCCAGCCTGAGGCCTTGAATTCTAGATTCCTGCCCAGAGATCATTTTCCTGCTAGCACTAAAAATGCCAGACAGTGGGACTTTGTCATGGAAATGCTGATGAGGATTAACAATTGCTGGGCTAGGTTTGGGGCAGACAAAGCATAGGGCTGCTCTGCTGTCTGGCGTTATGCACTGTCTCATTTTCCAATTACAGTGCAAGCCCTGTGAAATAAGCCACGCACCCACCCTCCCTAGCTAGCAGGAAGCAGATTGAGCTGTGAATGTGAAGGGAACCTTTGGGGTGCCAGGAGCAATATATTCTCCCCCTGCCACCTCCGCCCGAGGAGTTCAAAGCACTTTACAAACAATAGCTAAACGTGGCCTCTCCCCCACTCTGGGAAGTAGAGGAACATCACCCCCATCTTACACATAGCGGTAAAGTGACTTGCCCACAGTCACGCAGAAAATCAGTGGCAGTCAGGAATAGAACCCAGGAATCCAGACCCACAGTCCCCTCTGCTAGCCAGTAGACAACACTGCCTCCCAAATGGACACAGCTTGTTCTGACATGACCTTCCACCTTCAGCTTTGTATCTCCCATCCCAAGTCCTCAACCCTTGGGATGTAGAATAGGCAGCGTCTTGCTAATTCATACCCAACATCGCAGCTGGTCACATATCAGAACCCTGGGGAAGGATGGGCATTAGCCTCCTGGATACTCCTGCATACCATCTCAGGAGAGCACCTGGTACTGACGGTAGTAGTGGGACATCACAGCTACTCCCCCAATGACAGCTCAAACAAGCTGAAGTCTTGTAATCAAAGCACAGCCTGGGAGTCAGGAATGCTGGGTTCTGTTCACCTGCCACTGACTTACTGCCCAGTTGTGGGCAAATCCAGTTCAGTGCTTTGGTTTCCTCATTTGTAAGATGATACTGACCTATCCCAGAGTAAGGGGATTGGGACACTAATTCCCGGGTGTCCACCAGGTGCTTTGAGATCAGCAGGGAAAGAAGGTAGGGAAGGGGAAAGTTGCTATTGGACACTGAAGCTGAAAGGGAGATTTCAGACGTGTTTGCAGGGCAGCATTTCCTGGCAGCCAACTTCCATCCGTACAAACACGTGAATCTGGAGGTTTACACACGTGTTCTGCAGCTGTTCCCGGGCCTGGCTTACCAGCCCAATGCTAGAGCTCATCCCGGGCGGTCGAGCGGAAGGAATGGCCAGCGTTGCTTCGGGAACCCTTCAGTGTTTTCTGAGAGCCGCTCCAGTCCGTCTTCTTGGAGTCGTCATCCCAGATGGTGGACGTCTCCGTGTCGCTGAGCCACTTGGAGTCCCCAGTGTAGTGAGTGGGGTAAACCAGCAGGGGGTGCACCGAATACACCAGCAGGTCCCGGTTAGCAAAATGCTGCTTGTAATCCTTGCTAGAAAAGGGAGAGTGGAAAAATCAGTGACGCTGGGTAGGAAGGAACGCAAAAGGGGGTGGAGAACAAAATCTGCACCCCTAGGGGGATGCCAGGGTGTGCCCGCAGCCTGGAGCCCCATCCCCTCTAACGCTGTGTTCCTGGGCCTCGGACACCAAAGAGGTGGGACACAGCACCTGGATGGATCATCCAGAGCATTTCCTGCAGGGTATGGGAGCCAAGAACTCCAGGCAGGCTCCTAGTTCAGCGAGAGTCTGCAGGTGAGAGGAGGCCACCCATCCCCCGGCCCTGCTGGAGCAACTCAAACGGCAGCCAACGCACTTTGTTTGGCTCGGGCCGGCTGCCTAGAAACATGTTTCTCAACATCCACGGCAGAGCTAGGCTGTTCCCAGGCTCCTCGTTGAACTACAGCAAACAAGGAATCCCGCGATGAGCTCACCCTGCAGGCTGCCAGGTCTGCAGGACTCCGAGAGGGGCAGGAATGGGACACTGGGCCGCGGCAGCCAGCAGCCTCCTTGTAGGGCTGATACCTCCTCTCTACTTGGGAGGCTCCCAGCAACCCCCCCCCCCCCTCCGCTCAACATCCTGAATCCCAGCACACGGTTCCTGACAACCCTTAGGGTCACTCTGAACTGATCCATGGTGCCCCCCCGCTACACCCAGGGACGATTCCTTTCACATCCACCTTCACTGCTCGCCCAAGCCCTGCCTTGTGCCACTCAGATCGAACTGGGGTCTCCGGCAGAGCAGGGCGCTCCACCGGTCCCAGTTAGGCCACGGGCTGGCCCAGAGCCAGCCAGCCTGTGCTGATGTTATTCTAGCTAGCCTGGGTCTTGGAATGGTTCCTGGTTCACACCCAGGGCTTTAGTCTGTCCACCTTCCTCCTCCACCCCTTCCTTTACTCTTTTAATCCCTCTGTTTTTCCATCTCTCTCTCAACCCTTTCCATCCCCCGACACTTCTTCCCCCAGCCCCCCACCAGAGGTCTGCAGGAGGGGCAGGAAGTCAGCATTGGAAAACCAGGACTCCCAGCCATTGCAACAGTCTGCCTGGAATCTGAGAGCACCTAAGACAGCTGCAGAGGATGCAAGCCACATGGCCATCCTGGAGTGGCTGGGAGACGTCTGGGAGGGCGGGGGGGTTATGGCCGAGTATCCGTGGGGCTGCACGTTACGTGGGGATGAACGGGGGACACAGTGCAGAGGGGGGGAGTCAGTGACCTTGTCCACATGCTGTATTTAGAGCCTGGTGTCTGTGCAAAGGGGCTCTGTGATCCCCAGATGAGCATCCACGTACGCCCTCAGACATGCATGAACAGACTCCTTGGCTGTGAAAACTGCACTCTCCGGGTTTTCAGTGATCTTTGTTCTCCCGCCTCACACTCCATGTGGGATTTCACTGCTGCTGAACAGCGTCGGGTCAAGAGCCCTGGAGCCCTCTGCCTACCATGGAACACGGGCAGCGGTAGAGCAAGTGGCCCCTAGGCTGGCCTCAGCCCTGACCTGCGGGGGATGATCCATGGATGTCAGGGGGAGCTGAGTCTCCATGGCCCAGTCAGTCAGGAAGGGGCAGTGGGGGGGAGGAGCTCAGCCATGATGGTCAGACATGGGGATGTGGCTGATCCACTAGAAATGGAGCTGAAATCCTCCAAACGCATTTCACACCAGCCCTTGCTCGGCCAGCAATGACTCTGTTCTCTCAGCGCTGCACTCCCCTCCCCCACAGCTCACTGACGACCGTTTTCCACAGACCAGAGCGCAGGGGCGGCTGAGGGGAATGAGCTCATGGTAACAGATGTTTTATTTCAGCACACAAATAACGCTGGGGGGCGGGGGCGGAGACACACACGCTTGTTTCTTCACTTACACGGCCAAGCTGCTAATGGAGTCTGGGCTGCAAACCAGACTAGCAAACGGGTGTCACACCTGACTGGGTAGGAAAACAGAACCAAAACCCCTTCCTGGGGGCACGGGGGGAGGGAGAGGGGTTGTGCATGGACTGGAGACCCCCAGCACTGGGCTCTGCCCCTTCTCAGCCAGCACTGTGCCAGTCCCACCCCGGGATGGAGCAGCAGCCGGAGCCTATCCTTACTTTGGGTGCCTGTCATACATGATGGGCAGGAACTCGTCCACCGGCAGCATTTTGGACAGGGGTTCGGCCGCGATCAGCTTCTGGGCCCCGCGCTGGGAGATGATGTAGGCCAGGGTCCAGTAGGAATATTCAGCCACCACCAGGTTCCGCACGTCCTCCACCGGCTCCTCGTCCTCCGAGTTCACCTGCTTCCTGCCCAGGTAGCTGCGAAGGCAAAAGCAGCCCATCAGCTAAGGGAAGGAGCCAGGCCCGCAGCAATCCCAGGCAGCAGACACGCTGCAGGGGACTGGATGGCTCGAGGGGCTGGGAATGGGATAGAGACTTGTCTCCAGGCGACTGGCTCCAATCAGCCATTGGGGCGGAAAACAACGGTGCTCGGGGCTTTCGCTATCTGAAAACAGTAGCCAGCGTCAGAGGGCACTAACCCATGGGGAAGCAGGGGAGGGGCCCCCAGACCAAGGCAGGATTCAACCAGTGACAGCACCGGAAGGCAAGCTCGGGATGGGGCCAGCCCCGTCCCTTCCCCCTCCCCTGCCCCTCACTGTGGGCTAGTCCAACGTACATCAGGTCCCAGTCCAGCTGTGCCCACTCCAGCTCCTCCATCAGCCGCGTCAGCCGCACCTTGAAATAGGCCTCGAAGCGCACGTCATCCTCAAACACCACCGACTTCTCCAGCCCCCGTGCCACGATCTGCGGGGAGAGTCCGAGTGGCTGTTGTTAGAGGCCCTACTGCTCCCTCCTGGACCCCCTTCCCCAGGATAGCGGCACCAGTCTGGAAACTAAGTCTGGACCGGGGTTTGTTGTGAAGAACGGCCTCACAGAACAGAGGAGTGGGGCAGGGGAGACACCCCCATCCAGGGGCTGCTGCCAAGGGCACCGTGCCAGCCAGGAAGGTTGCTCGACGTGCTCCAGCAGGTAGGGCACTGGACAGGGACTCAGGAGAGTCCCAGCTCCAACAATGGTGACCTTGGGCAAGTTGTTTCCCTTCCCTGCTTTGTCCGTTTAGACTGTAAGCTCTTTGGGGCAGGGTCTGTCTCTCACTCTGAACAATGCCCAGTGCCACGGGCCCCCTCGGTGTTAGCGTAATCTCCCCCTTCCCATTTATTTTCTTCCTTTACCTCAGGTCTTTACCTCTCTCCAGATGTAATAATGGCTGAGGAAGCAACCAACCTCCCCCTTGGTGAGCGTCCTGCCAGAGAACGGGTCATAATATCCTGGGAGCAGATCCACACCCAGGATCTTAATGTCACTGCTGTTCAGGGCACTGGAGGGTGAGAGGCCGTGGTTAGAGAAGTGCTGCGCTGGAGAACAGGCTGTAGGGAACAATCCTGCACTGGCCAGGGGGATAGATGAGGTGGGCATGATAGATCCTTCCCATCTCTAACTCCCACTATTCTGCACCAGTCAGATCTAGTCACTTCCACTTCCCAGCACCACCCCCCTGAGGGGAGCTCTCCCACCAAGATGGGCTAGTTCCAATCTGGGGCAGGTTATTCCCTGCCTTGGGCCACTGACACTTCCTCCAACAGGGGAGTCCCTAGTGAAGGTGAGCCCTCCCCACCCCATAAGCACCTCACAGGAGGGGCCTGGCTACACCTGGTGGAGGTGGGGCTCTCCAGCCCGGCTACCTGTGCCAAGGTGCGGAGGATGCAGAGGATTTGGTGGGCTGAGCTGTGAGAAGATGGCAGGCTGAGCTTGTGTGACACTGACAGCCAGGGGCTCATGTGTAACTTTGGCTGCTGACTCTTCTTACCATGCCTGACATCTGCCTTTTGATTCCCTTGCTCAGGAGACAATCCAGCTGAGAATACACAGTGTGGTTCCGTCTCTCCACCACCAACTAGCAGAATTTCCCCTCCCCGTTCGATGTGCAGTGTCATAACGCATCCCCGACCCCAACCCAAAGCAGCAGCAAGAGCACGGAGCTTCAGCTGCAAGAAACGTGCCTGCGCCCAGCATCCAAAACCCATTCCCCCGCCATCCCCCATGAGGTACTGGCATCCCACCTGAGCTGTTGCAAAGCACTGTAAAGAGCACAGAGCACTCACCTCCCATCCACAGCATCCACCACCAGGGGGTCTATCTCCAGCTCATACAGAGAACTCAGCATCCGCTGGCGCCGGTCTGGCCTCCGCCTCAGGTTAATCAGGAAAATCTAAAGAAGAATCAAATATTAAAGGGGACAGGATTAAAATTCAGAATGATTTGGACAAACTGGAGAAATGGTCTGAAGTCTAAGGGATGAAATTCAATAAGAACAAATTCAAAGTACTCCACTCAGCAAGAAAAATCAGTTGCACACATACAAAATGGGAAATGACTGCTTAGGAAGGAGTACTGCAGAAAGGGATCTGGGGATCATAGTAGACAAGCTAAATATGAGTCAGTGTAACGCTGTTGCAAAAAAAGCAAACATCCTTCTGCGATGTATTAGCAGGAGTGTTGAAAGCAAGACATGAGAAGTAATTCTTCCACCTACTCTGCGCTGATTAGGCCCCAGCTAGAGTATTGTGTCCAGTTCTGGGTGCCACATTTCAGGAAAGATGTGGACAAAGCAGAGAAAGTCCAACGAAGAGCAACAAAAATGATTAAAGGTCTAGAAAACATGAGCTATGAGGGAAGATTGAAAAAAATCTGGGTTTGTTTAGTCTGGAGAAGAGAAGACAGAGGGGACATGGTAACAGTTTTCAAGTACATAAAAGGTTGTTACAAGAAGAAGGGAGAAAAATCGTTCTCCTTAACCTCTGAGTATAGGATAAGAATCAATGGATTTAAATTGCAACAAGGGTGGGTTAGGTTGGACATTAGGGAAAAACTTCCTAACTGTCAGGGTGGTTAAGCACTGGAATAAATTGCGTAGGGAGGTTGTGGAACCTCCATCACTGGAGACTTTTAAGAGCAGGTTAGACACACACCTGTCAGGGATGGTCTAGACAATACTTAGTCCTGCCATGAGTGCAGGGGACTGGACTAGATGACCTCTCGAGTTCCCTTCCAGTCTTATGATTCCAGCCTGGGAAAGATCGGGCTAGAGACTCAGGAAAGGGGCAGGGTCTCACGCTCACCAAGGAGAGCTGCCAAGAGAAGGGGACACAGTCTATATGGGGTTCCTCCATCCAGCAGTGGGCAGGCCATTGTGCCTGAAGGGAATGGGATACCCTGGGACACAGAGGACTGACAAAGCTCTATCCCAGCTGGGCACACGGAGGGTAACAAGCTCTGCTCCATGGCAATGAGTGTGATGAAGGAAGGGCCCTAGCAGCTCTCTCCTCTTTGAAGCAATAGCAGAATCTTTCCCCAAGATGGGAGCTCAGGGGGGTCTCTGCTCATGAGACACGGCTCCTGCCAGACCTCCCTCTCCAGCCAGCCATCCTCTCCCATGAGCCAGCTCTGCACTGGGCCCCAAAGTGCTGTTCCCTGGTGTCCCAGCATGGGGGTTTAAATGGTGCAGCCACAGGCTACCAGACAAGGGATATAGGTTGAAGAGTGTCCTTCATGCAGCAGGGGTTATGCAGGCAGCCTGCTTAGCCAAGCGGGGGGATTTCACCTCACTCTGCAGCGTCTCCACTGGCCAGCCCAGCAGGAGCAGGCTCCAGAGGGTGGGGAGGTGGAGGGACAATAGGTGCCATGAGGAAGCTGTGTTGGACAGGGAGGGGAAACATGCTCTCACTTCCGGCCAGGTGCTCACCTCATCAAAGCCCATTTTACCGAGGTGCTTGGGGCTGAGGGAAACGTGCTCAGAGGGGTACATCGGGGGGCCGTCCACTGCAAGAGACAGAGCACTTGGCTAAGATGGAGTCACTGTGCCCACAGCCCTCACTCCAAGGGCCTAGACAGAAGCAAACACCCTCAGCTGCGTCACTGCCTCACCGAATACAGCTGGGCGTGTGGGCTGGGAGCTTCCTCCCCATCCCCAGGATTTGCTTCAGGATGATAGGCCAGCCCCAGCCCACACTGACAGCTCAGAAGGCTCAAGTGCTCTGAGCCCGCCAGAATGGTACAGGCTGCCTCCCCACACACACCCTGCCACAGCACCTCATAGCTGAGCTGGGGTCTTCCCCTTTCCATGGCCCGTTCAATCCTTAGGCTTTGCTGCTGTGCCTCCCAGCAAGAAAGCCAGCGAGCCCCCTTATGGCGCGGACCCCGACCCGAGACCCAGCATACTTCCCTCACGTCAGCTAAGGGAGTTTGCCAAAGAGGGACCGGAAACGCTTACGCTTTGTCTGTCAACTCCTCAGACAAATAGTGTAAGCGGGTGAAACTCCACTGACTTCAGGGGAGCTGCATCTGCTGATCTGCACCCCAGGGCTAGGACCCCAGCCTGAAGCTCCCTGTCATTCCCCCAGTGCCGGTGGCTGGGCCTGAGCCCTTACCCATGGCTTCCAGGATGAGGTGCACGAAGTTGATGTGTTCGTCCTCTAGCGTCTGATGGGACTTCACCGGGACATTGATGTAACCAAACCGCTCCTGGTTACACACGTAGATCTGGACTCCTGCAAGGCAGCGGCAGCCAGAGTAACCCCAGGCCGCCAGCCCCTGCTCCCAACCCCTTCGCTGAGAGCTCTGCACACCAGCCTTCCCCGTGTTGTTCCATCCCAAAGCACAAGCCCTTGGCTCTTCCTAATGTGCCAACCAGCTCCCCCCTCCACCTGCCACCCTGCCTTGGGCAAAGGGGCTGTTTAGGGCCAGCACGGGGCAAGAGACAGCTCCTCAGGAAATGCATTGCTCTTTTACGTCCTTCAGTTCCACATCTACGTGGGGATGGATTCAGATTTCACAGTCCTCTGGCCTCGATCCCCAGACATGGGATGCCTTGAGGAGCTCCTTTCTGGGGGACCGAGTACAGCTCACTCCACGCGTCCCTCTCCCACTCTGCCCCTTCCCTCTGGCCCTCACCCGCGGCTTGGCAGGAGTAGGCGAAGACGATGATGTCGTCAAAGGGCCAGGTGTAGTTGGGGTGGGGCGGGTGGAAGGCGAGCTCGGAGGTCCCCTCTCTTCGCAGATCAAGCAGGAAGGTGGCGTACACCATGGGGACGGCGAAGCAGCCCATGAGCTGGCGGTTCTTGGTGGGGAAATAGTCTGCCGTCCTGCGGTAGTAACCCTGGGAAATACAGGGGTGAGGTAATTCCCACTGACGGGAACCAGGAGGAGCCAAAGCAGCGCATCTCCCCCACCCACCACGAGCAGGCAGGGCTCCAGCATGGAGAGCTCCCTCACAGCCATGCCCTGACAGCAGCAGGCCGGGCTCCATGCCACTCTCAGACACTTCAGAGTTTCCCTCCATCCTCATCATCCAGCCTCTGCCCCAAGGAGAGACACTGGGGGGGATATTTTCCTCCCTGGCGAATCCCAGCACCCCGCAGATCACACATGTCCAGCTGAACGCAGACAGGTGGGGCTTCTAGGTTTCCTCCCAAGTCTTAAACGGGGCTTGCAGCAGAGCCCAGTCCGCATACAGCAGAGAGGGGGCGACATTAGAGCCCACTCGGGTTTTAGGAGACAGCAGAGCTCACATGAAGGAAGGGTGATGGGCAGGTTGGCACACGGCCGGGAAGGCACCAGTGGAATTTCTCGGAGGAAGCTGCAGCCCAAACTGACTGGGTGACTTAGCTACGAGACCTTAGGAGCGACTCTGGGCTGGCAGGGGTGCCCAGAAGGGCAGAGGTCGTGCTTCAAGGAAGGTTCCTCATGCAGGAACTTTACAGTTAGGCCCCTGGGCTGGAGATGTTTTCTGGCTGTGATTAAGGGAGTTTTCCCATACCCACCCCAGGTCCATCAGGAACTGCAGAACAAGGGTAACACACCCCACTGCTTGGCAGCAGCACCCAGGCTGAGTGACAGCAAACAGGACATCCTCCAGCACAGGGGATTCCCCCTGCCCACCCCAGGCAGCTTACCTGAGGGGTTATCCCACACCAGAAGTTGGAGTAATATGTCTGGGAGTCCAGCATGGGGGCGATCACCGACTTGTTCTGCGAGATCAGGAACGTCAGGGTCTGATTGTTGGTCAGGATGCTGTCTGTATCGGTGAGCTAGTGGTGGAAACATGTGAGGCTGCCGCTGCTCATCACAACACGTCTAAGTAGGTGAGCTAGTAGGGAGAGCGCCTGCCCAGCAACGGCCAGCCCGGGGCAGGCACGGCTCCATGCCACTCTGGGAAGCGCCAGGGTTCTCCTGCACTCTCAATCTCCAGCCACTCAGCCAGGGCGAGAAACCCTTGGAGGATACTTTCCTAGCAGGGGGCTCTCTCAGACAGCCCTGGACGTTATCTGTGGGCGATGGCCCTGGAGCATCCACCACAAAACAGAGAGGAACCAGGGCCATAAAGCTTAAATTAGGAAGATGACAGGCTTCCACAGTGGGGTCATTTCAGAGTAGGCTGCATACACCCCCGGAGAATCTGACACAAGGAACTATCCTGCTCTGGGCCCCTGTGGGTGGGCAGAGTGACGCAACGGAACTTTCCCGTCTCCGCTTTCAGTGCATCTGAAAGCTGGTCATGTTCCCCGAGGTTGGGCCTTGCGGGAGGGCTGAAACCCTTCCTGTGCTAAAGGAGGGAAGCAGGCCCAGTTAGAGTTCTCTTACCAGGAGATAATCAGCCCCCTCGGCCCGGGCAAAGCTCAGAGCTTCCTGCTTGAGCTTCATGACATGTTCATAGCGTTCGTCTGTCCAGTGCTTGGGGCCAAGTTCATCGGGGTAAGAGCTGCATCAGGCAAACAAAGAGTTAATAACCTGCCCTTGGCTGTGAACTTACAAACTCACTGGTCCTGCGCGCCTGACAGCTGAGTAGCTTGGACAGGGCAGGATCAGCTCAGTCCTGACTAAGGGCTCATCTTGACTGGGTTTGCTTAGCATGGAGTCCCACTGGGGCAGCAGGGGGAGGGATCCCTCAGTGAGGAGCCATTTAGCTTGCACCGCCCTATGTCTGTCCAGCCTGTTCATCCCACAAGCAGCCCAAGCACGTGTGGTGCGGATCAGTGCTGCCTGAACAGCCCCATGCTGGGAGGGAAGAAACATGAAACTGATTCACTAACGCAGGCTCAGGATTGGGTCAGGCCACAGTCAGCTACCCCGGCACACACATTCCCAGCGAGGAGACTGTATGGAAACAGACTCTCCCTGTCTCCCATCTGTGCGCAGGGCCTCTCGCTCCATCTGTGCATGGGGGCCTCTCGCTCCTGGAGGATCTCTCTGTGCAGTCAGCTCCAGACAGGCAAGAGCAGGACAAGACTGGAGAGAACCGAACTGGGCATGGCAGGTTTGGGTGGATCAGAACAGGATGGGCACAGACAGCAGCCGACCTGCCACGCAGTAGGCAGACCACCACAATGAAAATGGGTAGGTAACCTCAGACGCCTTCTTCAGGGTGCCACCAAAGGGCTGACAGCAGTGAAGGTGCTGGGAGAAAGCCATCCCCATTCCACCTGGAGGAGAATATCCAGGCACCCTGACCTAAACTGGATCAGAATCACCACAGGTTAGAAGAGGATGCTAGACCCACTTCCATGCAAATACTTTTATGCCCCAAATTCAGAGCGGCAAACCACAAAGCTGCATGTAAGAAAAATGCAATGATGAGGTCTGGCAGGCTGAGTGCAGGGACAGGAGCCAGAAACTTCTGGTTCTGTTCCATCTCCAACTAACTCTCTTGTAGCCTTGGGCAAATCACTCAGCCCCTTTGTGCCTAGGTTTCTCTATACATGAAATGGACAAAACACTCTCTGGTAGGACGCATTGCTACAGCAAGGCCTCAGGTGATCATACACCTTACCTGGGCTCCTCCACTGACTTCCACTCAATGTAGCGATAGTGTTTTTCCATGGCCGTAAGCCATTCCCACAGGATCTTGGTCGTGTTGTCGATATTGTGGTCCGTTGCACACCTGAAAAATCAGAACGCAGAGGAGACATTAGCTCTCCCCCTTCTCCCAGCCCCGTTTCCTTCAGCACATGCCTTCCAGTCTCCAGCCCCAAACCCAGCAACACAATCCTATGAAACTGAAATGGAAACCACAGTAGCAGCTCTCAGGGAGATCCCGCTCCCCAAATGCCTCCCGACCTCCAAAGCCCACATATCTGGACATCAGCGGAGAGCTACTGTACAAACAAGGATGCCAGGGAGTTGAGAAGACTCATGACCCCAGAGGGGCACAGGGTGCATGAATGAAGAAGTTGAGGGTCTCAAGCACAGGGCTGGCCTTACAGGCAGAACTGGGGAAGAAGCCTCTGACAGTGCATAGGAGCTACCAGACTGGATCAGACCAATGGTCTATCTCAGTGGTTCTCAATCAGGGGTATATGCACCCTTGTGGGTATGCAGAGGTCTTTCAGGGGGTATGTCAACTCATCTAGATTGTTGTTCTCAACCTGGGGGTCATGAGCCTCAGGGGGAGTCACAAGTGCAGGGCCGGTATTAGGGAGTGGCAAGCATGGCAATTTCCTGGGGCCCCATGCCACAGGGGGCCCTGTGAAGTGAAGTTACATGCTTCAGCCCTGGACAGGGGGGCTCAGGCTTCAGCCCCAGGCAGCGGGGCTTGAGCTTCAGGGGTACAGTAGTCTAGAAAGGCTGAGAACCATTGGTCTATGCAATCCAAAGTCCTGTTTCCAACAGTGGCAAGTGCTTGATGCTTCAGGAGAAGGTGCAGGAAAGCCCATGGTGGACAATTATGGAATAACCTACCTGCAGGGGAAGTTTCTTCCTAACCCCATCAGAGTGTAGTTGATTCATGTCCTGCAGCATGAGGGTTTAAATCCAATTTTTAAATTTCATCTGATATACGTGGATAAGAACATAAGAACGGCCAGACTGGGTCAGATCAAAGGTCCATCTAGCTCAGTATCCTGTCTGCTGACAATGGCCAATGCCAGGTGCCCCAAAGGGAATGAACAGAACAGGGAATCATCAAGTGGTCCATCCCATCACCCATTCCCAGCTTGGATGTTCTTATCCATAGAAAAGCAGGTTCTTCCCAAAGGGCTCTCAGCTGAGTGGGAGAATTCCATGGAACTGGCTAGGATCACCACCTGTATTCATGGGCAGCGGCAACATGAGACTGACTGGGACTGCGGAATATTAAGGGGCAGGGCTCCGCCTAACAGCATGCCAACAATGCTCTGCAAAGGAATTTTGAATGTGAAACTGGTTCCCTGCTTTCCTTTGTCATAAATATACCAGAGCCACTTGTCCAAAAACACCCTGTTTCTGCATGGAGTGTTGTCTAATGGCTAGTGCAGGGAGGTAAGGATCAGAACTCCTGGGTTCTAATCCCAGCTCTGCAGACAAGTCATTTACCCTCTGCGTGCCTCAGTCTCCCCACCTGTCAAACGGGAATTTTGCCACCTCTGTAAGCGCAAGGCAATAGATTGATTTACCAGTTTTCTAATATGGACCAGATGGGTCAAATTCATCACCGGTGTAACTGTATGGGCCTCAGGAATAAATTTAGCCCAGGATGTTCCTATCCAGGCATAGACGAGCTTAAACCCCCTTGTGAACTCTGCTTTCACCCTGGAGGCACGGCGATCCCTTTAAAAGGAGACACACGAGCAACCCTGGCACAAACACTGGCTGCTGCGCTATAAATATCTCCCGGGTATGCTGGCACCAGCAAAGACAGCAAGCGGAAATCTTTTGGAGAATTAACATGTAATTTTAAGCACTCTGCTATTGGGAAAGGGAACGTGAAGGGATAATTCCTTCCAAACTGCAGACTCCCTGACTAGCACTAAAGAGGCACACACACTGCCCTGCCTGGGCCAGGGCAGCCACCAAACACAAAGGCTCATTTGTCTTCAGACCAGGCTCTTCCCAACTTGTAATTAGCCGTTCTCCTCCTTTACTTTTTCCCGTTGCTCTGTGCAGGGCTGGGGGATGCACACACTGCCTACGGCCGCCTTTCCCAGCTTTGTTTTCAGCCCCGCCTTAGTGCCATGCTCACGACAACACCCCTAGGACGTGGCCTGGATTCAGTGGGGAGGCCTGTTCCAACCGAGATGGGGGAAAGCGACGAATGTCATGTATCGCGGCCTAGCACAGGTTGGGGCTGGACAGGCAAGGCATAGACGTAATGTAAGTCAGCAGGGCAGGGCAGAGCGGAGCAGACCAGCCAATTACTCACCATCCCCCTCCCGCTCTTCTCACCCATGCTGCCCTCCTCTAGCCTTTCCTCTCACATACTTTCTGGTGCAAGTGAAACAGTGAGAAATTAAAAAAAAAAAAAAAGCTTTTTGGAAATGCCAGCCTCAGGCCCTGCCAGCAACGCCGGGCAGAGAGGAGTCTTTGCCCCCATGGTCCCGATCACAGCTAAAGGACAACGCTCCCCTCCACCCCCACCCAATGTCTGACACTGCACAAGGACGGAGACCCCATTCATCGAGATTCGAGCACAAGGCAGTGACTTGTAAAGGGCGACCTCAGCTCCCCCAGGACCAATGTGCTTGCACCCACTCTGCAGCACCTCCTACTTGGAGAGGCCGGGACTGGAGTCTCCTCTCACCCCCTCTGTTATTCTGTGCTGGGAATTCCAAACACACGAGTCAAACCACAGGGAAAACTGTAAGTCTCGGAGATGGAAAAAGGTAAGGAGAGACGTCTCGCCCAGCTCCCGCTGCAGCCTGGATTGCTGGCTAGCAGACTCCTCATCTGGATCTCTAGCAGGGCATGTCCGCTGCCAACAGACGTGCACATATGGTAAAGATGCTCTTTACCATGATTAGACTCCGGAGGTAATAGTTCCGACAAGCTCATGTGAGAGGCTGTCAGACACGTCTGCGGGGGCTGCGAGGGGCAGTGCGAGCAGATGGGATGCGGTGCCCAGCTGCAGACACCCGTATCTCACAGTATGCACAGGAGGGTGAGGGGGCTTTTAACCTCCAAGCGCAGGGGGAGAACATCCCCCTCGGGTAGTATGGAAGAGTGTCCTGCCCCACTGCCCAGCGTCCCTTTACGTCGGGGAGGGAGGGGTTCTCCCGTCTGGCAGTGCCCTTGACTAAGGGGACAGCCACGAGATGGCACCCATCCTGCAAAGGCATATCCCCCTCCACCCCCTGTCCCGGCTGCCCCTGCAGCACCAGGCTGCCCTTCCTCGCCCTGGCACTAACCCCTTTAGGGTCTGGGGGGGCACCCCCGGAATCTTGCCCTCCCCGGGGAGGCCCGGCGCCCCCTGAGCCGAGCAGCCCTTACCAGATAGAGATGCGCTCCTTGGGGTAGTCCAGGCGCTCCAAGGCCCCCAGGTAATGGGGCAGCGAGTGCTCCGAGTTGCGGGCCAGGATGGCGATCACCACGGTGGGCAGCTCCTGCTGCTGCCCGGCTGGGCTCCCCCCTTCCCCCTCCAGCCCGGGGCAGCCCCTCAGCAGCAGGAGCAGGGCGCAGCGCAGCAGAGCAGCGTGGGGGCGCATGTCCGGAGGCAGCGGCTGCAACAGTGGGGAGCGGCAGGGGAGCGGGGCTGGGAGCGGGGCGGAGAAGGGGGCGGGGGGAGAGAGGGGCCGGGCTGGGAATCAGCGACGGGAGGGCGGGGAGGGGAGAGGGGGATGCCCACAGTGGGGAAGGGACGGTGCCTGGTAGCTCTGGGGCTCTGCCCTGCAGATCAAATCCTGGTGCCACCCAGCTCATCTCCAGAATTGCCCCCCCCCCTTGCTCTGGGCGTGCTCCACCCCACCCCCCTTGCTCTGGGCGTGCACCCGTGTGCTGGCGCTTCGTGCTCCAGCTGGGCCTCCTGTATCAGTTCAGATCTCCAGCAAGGGCTGGCTGACAGCCAAGGGGCAGGAATTACTGTGTGTTGATACTGACATAGGGCCCCCGAGTGGTAGCCAGGGAGCACGACTCCAATGCACAGACCACCCCGCTCTCCTCCCAAGAGCACCCCACTATGCCCCCTGTGCTGGGATGTGAGGGAGGGCTGGCTCCCCGACCCTTTCCCTGCTGGGGACTCCCCTGCCTTGGGTGGATCCCCAGGGTAGGGCCCTCACAGTCCCTTTAGTTCTGCAAATCGGCATGAAGGGGCCCATGGAGCACCAGGCTTTGACCCCTCGAGTACCAGGCTTCACCCCCTGGGAGCAGGGGCAGCTTTAGTAGGAAAATTATGACCTTGGCATTTTAAAAACTAGACCAGTCAAGACATTTTGAAAATGCCCCTTAGGGCACAATACTTGGTTAGCTGAGGGTGGGCTGGCTGGGATCTGACTTTTCTTCTCTCACAGCTATGACTCTTGTGACTCCAGAAGTTTTGCCTGCAAGAAAGCCCAGATTTCACAGAAAGCTGGGGCGGTGGAATGTGCCTTTTCTTCCCTTTAGTCTGGTGTTGCAGATGCAGCAGACTTGCATCTTTCTCTAGCGACAGCGGCCAACGCAAACACCCCTCTTGTCTCCTGAGAACTGGGCAAGTAGCAGGAGCAATGAGTCACATCTGCTTCTGAGAATCCAGAACCACACTGTGTGAATGCGACTGAATCAAGTGTCCCCTTTTCCCTCAAGCATCCATGCAAGCCAAACTTCATTCACAGAACCAGCGTTTGCAGAGAGCAAATTCCAGGCCCATTGCCAAGAGCCGATTAATTGCAAAATAATATTGACTTCAATTCATGACAAAAACAAAATTCGTTTGGGGGCCAAACGGTTCATCCAATCATAGAACAGAAATTACCCCACATGACTCTGATGCCCAATCACACAACTCAAAGGGATGTTTGTGGTGCATACTTGGCCAATGATCCACTGGCTTTAATGTATGTGGCAAACACTTTTATATGACAAACAGATCTATAAGTAACGTGGTCTGCCCCCAGACCATTTGCAAGCTGGAAAAGGAGCTAAATCTGCCAAATAAATAACTTTTCCTAACAATTCAGTTAGTTCTACCTAGAGACCATCCCCAGTGTCATACTGCAGCCCAAAAGTAGTTACCTCTACCATACCTGCCCTACTGATCACGAGGGGTTTGAGGGACCCAGCTATCCAGAAAGATTAGGTGGATGCCTTCCATCCTTGCTCATCACAGCTGCTGCAAAACCTGCCCAGACAGCTGTGTTTGACCTTCTGGGACATCTGAAGGGGGATAAACAGAAACCAATGGGAAAGGGGAGGAAAATCTCATGACAACAGTCAAGCCAGCAAGACACAGAACCTGGAAGAAAAAACAGAGAAGGGGTGTGAGGAAATAACATTTGTGCCTTTCAGGAAATCCTGACATTCCTCAAGCATTAAAGAAAACCACATTTACATCAAGGCTAAGTATTATCTCGGAGTATGAAAGACAGCATATAAAACCTCCACCCCCAGCATGGGTCATCAGCAGTGTCTGCGAGGGTGACCGGATGGCCCGATATTAGGGACTTTGTCTTATATACAAAGCTATACCCCAACCCCAGGGCGAAAAAGGTGTTCCGATTTTTCACACTTGCTATCTGGTCACCCTAATGTCTGCACGTGGGACTTTCAGCACTGCCCCACCAACCTCTACCACTTAAGCTAAAGAAGCAAATCAGTTGGCTGGTAGCAGTAGTAAACTGTTATCTTCTAGTGGATCAGCCACAACAGAGGGACATACCACACACTCTTCCAGTCAGTCACATGTAGAAACAGCCTCTGCCTCTCTCTTCTCTACACAGCAGGCTTCAATTCTATATCCTGGCTGATGTGTGTTGGACTGGTGAGCATTTAGAGAAGGGCTGGATAGTTTATTCAGAGAGCACCAGAGTAGAGAGCGCTGTTCCTCCTACAAACCTACCCCAGTCCTCCCTAGGAACAGGAGGATAAAGAACTCTGATAAATAACCAAACTCTCTGTAGCAAGAGAGAGTATTCTGGAAGTTCCAGACCCCAGCCAGCAACTCAGAGACCCAAAGGAAGTTCTATAATCTGGGAGCATGAAATGAACGCACAATACATTTGGAACAAACAGAAAGTACAGCTTGACAGCATGAAATCAGCCTGCTAAGTTCACTGCTCCATGGAGGAAAATACAATCGCTAGTTGGTTTTTTTGTTTGGTTGGTTGGTTTTTAAACAAGGAGTTAGATTCCCTATCCTTTTTTTCTGGTATAAGGTTCTTCAAAAATCTGGCCCCACAGTATAACAGGCTGAGCCACTCCTTGGGTTAGTCAAATGACAGGACTCCAAATCAGGTAACCTGAGCTCTATCCCCACTGATGCACAGTATAAACTTGGACAAATTAATTCAGCTTTGTGCCTCAGTTTCCCTGTCTGTAACTGGAGATTAATAATTACAGGCCTCACAGGAGGATTGAGAGTCTGAGTTCACAATGTTTGCAGAGCCCTTTAAGGGCCACATGTGGAAGATGCTATAGGCAAATTAAGTATTAATTATTACATTATTATTAATTGTCCCCTAGTTCAGTGTCTATCATTGGAGTTTGGAGGTGGATGGGTTCTGCCTCCTCTTTCTATCTTGCAAATGTTGGCAGGTGTGGGACTGAAGAGGGTATAGTGGTACATGAGGGGAGAATTACAACATCTGTGCTGTGCTCAGAGTGACTTTTAGGACCACTGCCAATTTATGCCTCCTGGTGACCATGGGACCATTGCCAGACTTCAGCACAAAACACCCCAGCTCATCTCCAATCTCATAGAGACGCACCTGTCGCGGACACGTCTAGTTTGGAGTGATCTGGGGAAATGAGAGAAGACAGAGGGCTGTGTCCAAGGGATCCATCTCCTTGATGATCTAGCACAGAAGGCTTTGAGCACACCAGCTTCTGAACTGCCGAGTCGTTCTCTAAGCCTGATGCTCTGCACCTTGAACAGCAGCAGTTTCGTGGTGTATTTACACCCATGAAATCCTTCCCGGGGACCATTTCTTTTTCCATCAGCAATCTGCTGCCATCTAGTGGTAAATGAGTTTAGCTCTCATTCAAGAGGCACACAGTAGGCATTTCAGAGTGGTAGCCGTGTTAGCCTGTATCAGCAAAAACGAGGAGTCCTCGTGGCACCTTAAAGACTAACAAATTTATTTGGGCATAAGCTTTCGTGGGCTAGAACCCACTTCATCAGATGCATGGAGTGGAAAATACAGGTGCAGGTATAAATACATGAAAACATGTGAGTTGCCTTACCAAGTGTGAGGTCAGTCTAAGGAGACAATTCAGTTGACAGGCAGATACCAAATTCATCCC